GATGTTAATAAAAGCTGTGAGGAAGATTGCCCTCGTTCCTCCCCTCTAAATCTTGCCCACCTGGCAAAAGAAAAATGGAGCAAGCAGTTGGATATTCACCACAATAGGTGGGCTATCTCAGAAGTAGGTAGCTGGCAAACATGCTACCCTTTTTACATAAGAGCCTCAAAAATAGAAGCAAAACAGAAAAGGCTGCCTTTCCACATCACTACATTTCTCAACTTTTACTTGACATCTGGAATTTACGCTTTTTATATCTGAAGGACTTTTGTGTTAAGTTCAAATGCACACAAATTACAGAGCCCAAGTGGATGTCTTCCCAGTGACTTCAAGTGGGAGCTGGACAGGAACCCAAAACTGCAGGAAATTTTCAAGTTAACAGAAGAAAATTACTTCAATTTAAGAGTTAGCATGAGGCTTCCAATAAAATATATATAAAGTAATGTTAAAAAAAAAAAGAACATAAGCTAGGTAAGTGGAGGTGGTTAAGCTGCAAAGTAAATGATACTGTTTTCATAACGTACGTAAGGTCCTTTGTTATTTTACTCACCAAAATGAAAGTATTGTTCAAATTCTACAATAAGGAAGGACATAATCACAGCTATGAGAAAATAAAACCTGCTTACATGTCAGTACTGCCTGTGTCCACTGACATGGAGATTTCCTCTAAGGAACAGATCCTGCACCTGGACTCTAGCAGAAGTGTTAAGGGAAGCCCAGCCAAGCACCAAATCTGCTCCACTGTTTCTGGACTTGACGTTAAGATTAGCTTTGTTACTACCTCTTTTAAGGGCTAGCATATTCAAAAACTTACTCCCCTCAGTTTTCACTCAAATTCCTTTTTCTGTATGGTTTTACTTAAGAAGAATAGCAGCTAACCAAATACATATCTTAGCTCTATTGATACAATCATGAAACACATTTATTCTTACAGTAAGGACATGAGAAAACAGTACCTGTAAACTCTTCTCCAGATAGAGGTATTCCCAGTTCCTAGAGTGGCCACTGAAGTTTGTCAGGATGACAAATGTAACTATCCTGAAAATTTGTGTCTTGATGTTATAGCTTTACTAAAGTTAATTATTCTTTGTTTTAAGTCAAGCCCGATGTTCCTTTGAGGGGCATGAACCACCCAGTCGTTGCTGCATTCTGAGCACCTTAAACTAAAAGGATCTTTATTTTATGCCATGCAGTTTCAGATCATTGCTAATAAGCTGTACTCAAAGTCTACAGTAAGTAGGTGCTGCTCCCATACTGGCAAAAAAATGCAGTCACCTGCCTTTGAAGCAGAACCTTTATTGATTTTACACTTTGACTTTCTGGAGAACTCTGGATGCTTCACATTACTACCCAGCAAAAGATGGACCACTTCCTTTGAGACTCAAGTTTAGATGGCCATCCCTCATCTCATTCCTCCACAATGAGCAGGAAGATAGATAATGGTATCTTCAACTATGTTTTTTTTAATTATTCTTTTCAGGCTTATTTTCCTGTAGAAAATTTGGGAAAAGGAAGTTTTCGGATTTGACCCACTTCCTAGAGCTTGGGGGGGTGGGGGCTGTGTTGTCACCCCCTACTATGGCTTACTAGCCTATACATTGGACCTTAAAGAAACTTACCCACCAGTGCCATCAGTGTCAGGGTGGAACCTAGAGGGGGAAAAAAAAGAGCTGGAAAGCCACAGAAGATCCACAAGGTTCCTCAGGATTCTTAGCTGAGAATTGCTTGCTGAGACAAGGAACAAACTGACACTGTTGAAAGACACATGATTCGGCCCTCCTCCAAGTCCCAGAAAAAGGTAGCGCCATGCCTATCAGCAGTTCAGCAGGCTTTTCTCTAGAACTTAAGACAAAACACATAGTAGAAGTTGCCCATTGCAGATGCCAAGAAACCAACTGCTGAATTAGGAAGTTTTCAAAAAGGAAGACTCCTGATCTTTGACTGGCAGGTCTGCCTCATCTCCGTAAAACACAGACATGACACTGATGTGCCAGGCAGAACACTCTACAAACATGCTTTCAATATTCGGGATAAGTGAAATAGTAATGGAAAACAAATGGGAAAAATAATTAAAATCAATGTTATTAATATTGAGACTATTAGCTAATATTAACATGTTATTCTTAAAACGTGCTGAATTGTCCAAACCTGTGTTACTGAACCCTTGTGCTCTGGGGCTTCCCAGCTCCAACAGAAATTTTGCAGGTATAATGGCCAACACAGGGATCAAATTGTAGCATGTACACCATCATTTTTAACCCAAGTGTCCCTTAAGAGTCTTCACATAGCTATGAAGACAGTTCATTCATCAGAGGAAGGAGACAAAGCAGACTTGTCTTTAAACAATGTCAAGAAATAAAGTTTTCACAAATTAATTTTTTTATTTAGATTGAGACTGAGACGTAAGTTTTTGTAAACTCGAAGATTTATGGAAAGATAAAGAGGAACTAAAAACAAAAGCAAAAAGACAATACAAGGTGAACAGACCATAACTTTATTGGAGATATACTCAGCTACAATTATTACAAAAACTATTAAAGGTAATTGTGATCCATAAGGTGCAGATTGCAAACTTCTGCAGCATGATTACAGTATGAATGAATTACATTTTATGTCCCTTAAAGACAGCTGCAGCATGTGATGGTAAATATTTTATTGTCCATCAAATTATATGTTATTCATTCTACTTGATTTTAACCATCTTTTCAGTCAAACTATTTACAATAAAAATGCCTGCAATTTCCAATTCTTGTTCACAATTTTCTCTCCAACTTGCTGCTGCAGTAAATTCTGAGTGCATCTACAAAGCAATTAAAGTAGTCTGTGGTTGCCATTCAAATAAAAGAGGGAAAAAACCCAAGGACTTTATTGGATAAAATTTATTTTTAAGAAATGTAGTTAGCTTTGACAGAAGTTAATTTTAACTGCTAGTGGAGTATACTACAATGACCTCTAGATATTTGCTAACATAATTCAGATTGAGTTACAGTTGATATTTAGATTACATTTCATGGTCATGAACTGTAGTGTTTTAAACCTAATACAAAAGTAAAGAAATTAACTTTAACTTCTTGAAAATTAGAGCAATTGGAAAAGGATCAACGTCAGTAATTAAGTACCAAAAATCAAAATCCCTCTCGCTTCACTGGTGTAATAAATACAGAGATTTCCATGAGAATATTTTTGTAGGGAACCCCACCTAAAACATACGAACCCAGAATACTGTCAGAGGCAAGTGTAGTATTACAGCAGACCATGATGCTATTTGTAATTTTCTGATTACATGTGCTGCTGTGACTGGGATACAAAGATTTCACTGTCTAAAGAGATAAATGCATCTAGCATAGTTATGTCATATGCAGTAACATAAACCCCACATTTTCCAGTTTATGGTTCTGTATTTGCTTACAAGGAGGAAAATCCAAACTCTGCAACATACATATAAGCACAAGATCTTCAGGAATGTAAAAGAATGCAGTTCCATTGATTAAAATGATACCACATCAATTTGCACTAGCTGAGGATCTGGCACCTCATCCCTGGGCCACCACTATATTCCTCCCCAGCAGGGAAACTGGTTCTTGTCCAAGTTCTGTACTCTGCCGTCACAACATACTATTGTGTAATGAGACTTAAAAATAGTAGGCTTTTTTCTGTACGGACTTTAGCAGCATCAAGCTGAACAAACACTTCAGAAGTCACTACTGGGCACTCAATATTCAGACTGAGCAGAGATTTAGTTGAGGTTGACCAAATTACTAGGGGCTGTCTTCTCACAAAAACTACATTATACACATAGTATGTTGGTTTGTTCAGAGATAACTACTGGAGTGTCAGAGGTCATTCTAATTTTAATTACTTCACATAACAGTAAAATGATGTAGTAGAAAAACAATAGCTTTAAAATACAATCAAGAGTTGTTACACACCTTTGTTGTATTTTTCCACATACAGTAAAAATGCCACAGACATTACAAATGACCTATTTAAGTTGTGCAAGTAAATGACACATTGCAGGCATTATAATTATCTTTTTCAAATTCAGTAAATCAGAACAGCAGCAAGGCCAAACCACATTTTTCCTCTCTGTTAAGCATTTTTTTCCTTGAAATGAGGTAAAGCATGGTACCAAGTGCAATGCTTATTTGTGCTACATGAACAGAACAGCGCAAAAAAAGCCATAAAAATAAAAACGCAGCATAGTTAGGAGGACTGTTTAAAGTACAGTATAACAGGACTTAGATAAAAAAAACAAGGTTCATGCCAACTAACCCCCACACTATTTATGATGAGCCTGTGTGGTTGCTTTTGAAGATGGGTTGCAACAGTCCGCTTACACTTGTGCTTATAGCATGTCAAGTGATTTCTATCCCAACCTTCAAATGATCAGATTTAGGTCTTTAATAGCATACACTGTCCAATATAAAATCATATCAACTGTAGGGTAAAACACACAGATGTATAATAACATGGAAACTAATACGAATTTTCTATATCAAAGGATAAAAAAATATTTCAATGAGGTCACACTGGAAAAAATTACGGCATTTAAAACGCATTTAAAAACGCATCAGCAGCAGAAACTACTTTATAGTCAGCCACTACACATTTCAGATTTCCAATTCATAGGCTTTATCTAGTAACAAAGCGATCATTAAACTATTCTGAAACACAGAGCAAGTTCAGTTAATTTTCTTTGCATCAAAACACTCTGTAGCACTTTACTGCTAACAATTACCTGAAACCCCTGAGAATCTATGACCTTGTAACAATCAGTAAGAAATTTTAGGCGTTCAAAGACTAACTTAAATTTTAGTTTTTCATAATGCAGTTAAAACTACTTAAGACTTTCTAGATGATCTGATTTTATCTGCTGATTGATGTCTGGCCAGAAACACAGAATTGTTAACATTAGCAATCATGTATTTTCTCTAAGAAACTTCACTCCTGCCACAAAGAAAGAGCTATAACTTACATCGGTAACTTTTTTTTTTTTTAAAAAACAGCTAACTCAAAGCAATTTACCTTTGAAAATTTAGACTGCATGTTTTTATGTTCCATCTCATTTACATTTGTTTTATACACATCAAGACTTGCAGGTCTTATACTTCCCTGTTATATTTTCATGACTGAAGTACCAAACAAATGCTAAAATTTTTTGTAAGCTAGTATTTTAATTCTCGGTCTGACTGCTGTAACAATGCTGCTTTCAAATAAAAGAATGGTCCTTTTTGCAGAATGAAAAATGATAGAGATAGAAAATATATGAACTTTTGAAAACTGTATTTCAGAAAAGCTTAATGTCTACCCCTTGTCACTAAGGCATTTATTTTATTTTTTTGTTAAGAAAGCAAGAGCTGACAGTTTTTGTTTTGTTTTAGTGTGCATTTGTGAGGAAAGGAATAGGGTTTAAAAGCAGGAAATACAGTATTTATTTGTAATTTAATACGTAAGACACAGCATCAAGTTCAAACTATTGTGCTGGAAAACGTTAAAACACCTTGCTCTGCTTTCTCAAACTTCAAGCATAATTAACAGGGCAAAATTGCAGCAAACCTCTACTGATATTGGTGGGAATACGAGACCCACAGCTTTTTTAAAAGGTAAATTAAGAGGTATTATAGTTACAGTGCAAAAAATTAAAATTTCAAGCATAATATATAAACATAGCACCAAAACAGAAAAAAACAATGCATGCAAAAAAAGAAGGAAAAGAAAAGAAAAAAAGAACTGAGGTATTTAAGTGAAGAGTGCCTACGAAAATCTAATTAAAGAAGTATAGGCAAAGCCTAAAAAATAAAAGTATGATTCCCCCCCACCCCCAGTAGACCAAAACACCAATGAGCTAGTTTCTCTAAATTAAGGACCTAAATCACAGATGTATCAAAAGTACGGCAGTTATATCTCAAACATCAACTTTCATGTTATTTAACAGCACAGCTTTGGTAGGTGAAATATGCATGCAACTCTGAAAAGTACAGTAAGAAATTTACGTGGAAATATCTCTAAGTGTAAAGGTGCTCTGTTTGTTAAATACGTAACCAATTGACTATAAAATCTGCAGCATATTTTAGGTGTGATATGTCTAAGGTTATTTTGTTAGAGTGACAGTTTGCACTGTGCAATTATTGATTACTGTTTCCAGTATTGGAACTATCTAGCTTGCAGGTTTGTGTAAAATTGGAATTTTAGCCAAAGACCATATTTTGTTTATGGTATAAAAAAAAACTGTAGACTAACCACCTCCTCAGAATTGTTAAAAATAACCTAATTACATATATATGAATACAATTTCTATTATAATCCTGTTATAAGTCACAGCTATAGTAATGAGTTGTACTGTAAATATAGAGCTGTATCATTGTAAAATGCGTAACAAAATGAAGGGAATGTAAAACAGTTTGTTCCAAAAAAGATCAGAAATTAAAGATTATTAATGAGGGTTTATTTATTTTTAAGGCAAGAACCTTTTTTTATGCAAGACTGTGTGGCATAAGGAAACTGAAGTTTCATTCTACCAGTATGCCAGCCATTTCAATTAAAACCTGTCCCTAACAAATAAGTGCAATAATGATTGGGAATGCCACCTTAACGTAAAAAGATGACATGGGGGGGGGGAGAAAAAAAAAAGAAAAAAAGGAGAATACTGGCACACTTATTCTTTCTTATACCCAATCATCCAGCACAGTTTATCAACTGTTTTATGACTGGCACTAGTGCACAGATTGAAGAGTTTCAAGATTACTATATATAAATCTAGCAACTGCATTAGGCATAAGCTCCCTGGCCTTCTAACACTAAGCAAAGCTGTACTGACAATAAAAGTAAACCAAAAAGACCTGACAACAATTATTCTGAACACTTGCTAAATGTCATCATTAAAGCACTCTTGTGATTAAACAAAGCAGAAGTGAGGAAAGAAGACAAGATTGTGTTTGCGCAAAAAACTATAACTACAATTAGTTCCAAAATTTTATACATGTTAAATGTTTTGTTATCTATTCTGTTATCAAACAAACTTTAAGTTCTGTCTTCCAATTTGTTCCTCTCAACATCAACATTTTTAAAAATTTGCTTTATTTGTATGTGGTTTTTTTCCCCCATTTTATTTATTTTTAAGAGGAGTCTCAGCTGTTTGGGACCTGAGGTTGATTTGCTTTGAGGCTTCGTAGTGCTCTTCTCGCAGCTGCAGATTTGGCAATCCTGTAGCTTCTGCCAACACCTTTAAACTTTCCCTTTCCTACAACTTCCACTGTCACTCTGACCTTTCCATCGTAAGTTCTTTCTGCAGGACTGCAAAATATACAGAAGAATTACTTACTGCCTAGGCAAGTTAATGTGAAACAAGAGACCTACATTCTCCTTTCTACAGAAGTTAGAGCAGTATAGATAAACAGAAATAATTGCTTTTCTCAGAAAGTTATGCAAGGAAAAAAAAAAAACAGTGAACAGAATGATCATGCTAGCTGCTTAGTGCAAAAGAGATTAAAAGTAATTTGTGACATTTACAAATCCTCAGTAGTTTATGAAGCACAGCTTAAAAACATTTTATGGCAGTGTCTACCAAAGGAAGTGTATTCTTACCTAAATTTGGCTGTCTCTGGCTCCATCTCCAGCAGCTCTCGCACTGGGGAACGGGGCACATTAGCAGAAAATTTTTCTATTTGGAAAAAAATAAAACCAATTTTTTTAAAATTAGCTTTGTTCTCTTCATAGCAGATGGCACTTAATTATTAATTTTTTTTCTGAAAGCTCACAATACCTATTAATGGCCTCATCATTGGATAGTACACTTGCCAAACCATTTCCAAAGACATTCCACTATCCATATAAATGGCACCAGCAAGGGACTCAAATATATCCCCCATGGCCTTTGGTACTTCAATGTCTTCCTCTTTTTCTTCATCTTCTTCAGATCTTCTGAGCTGTTTGCAATTAAAAAAGCCGGGGGGGGGCAGGGAAGAAGGGGAGGAGAAGAGAGAGAAATCATTGCTGCTTTTAAAATAAAACAAAGAACTTCAGAAATGTAAGCTCTCTTACATCCTATCCTGAGCTGCTTCCTTTAAGTTTTTTGACAACTTTCCACAGTGAAATTGTTCTTTAATTCCCCAATGAAATCAAGTTGCTGGATATATCATTTTTCAAATGTGAAAAAAATCCCAAACACCATTGCGTACAAAGACCTTATATGCTTTGTGAATTCCTCCTGTAATAATTCTGTAGGATTTCACCACGGGTCTGTTTTTTCCAATAAGAAACAGACTTGGCTCTATCAGTTAATACTAGAAAGCTACTCATAACAAAGGAAGAGTTCATACATTAAACATCTCCTAGAAGGAGACTTTAAAATCTGGAAGTCCAATCTCTGGATGAAAGTCAGATGTACCTTTCCTTACCTCACCCCAGAAGACAAGCATGAAACAAGCATTAGTAAAATAAGCCATTAATAACTGATAACCAGCAACATCAGATTGAACTAAAAGGCACTTAGGTATTTTTTTAAATGTAGCAGGCAGTGCTTTCTTCTATGATACTGATTTAAGACAATAGTCTATTCTCATTACTAAAACTAAACTTTCATTGTATGTCTTAAAGGTCTCAAGTTAATCTAATCCTTTACTAAAAATACCTCAAATACATATAATCTACATTCACCTAAGTCCAAACAAAGCAACCTAAAACCAAAGTTTTTGATGATTGCTCTCCTCTGCCTAACGAGAAAGAAGCTTCTGTCAGTCTTTTCCCCCAGCAGCTACCCTCTCACTCCATTTGGCCTCTATTTGCGGTTCAAAACCTGATTCAGTCCTCTTAAGAGTCACCATAATACTTCATAAACTAGTCCCACCCAATATTTCTACCTAAAATAAATCAAACAAGAAGTCACACCTGATGCGTACACACTCTGAACGGGAATTTTGATGTTAAAAAACAAATTCAACTGTTTGAATAGCATATTTCATACCAAGAGCAAACTGAAGCACTTTTGAGTTATACTGAAGTAACAGGAGAGAAACTAAGGGCTATAAAGCAAGGGACAACAGATGTTTCAGGAGTGAGATCTGCAAAAAGAAAAGCAGATGACATGGAGACACACATGGAAACCAGTCTAGCTGGCATGAACTGCAGAAACAAAGACTCTTGCATTAACTCTGATGAAATAAGAGTTTCAGTAATTCAGTGCCAGACCAAGATAGGGAGCAGGCGTAGGGAGATTGAAACAAGAATTTTATTTGAAACAGCTATCACACAATTTCACTGCAACTTTGGTGGAAGTTTCTAGGCAATTGTTTTGCATACTAGCAAAAACCGAACAAAGCTAAAAATCACTATTATGAGCTCTTAAAGTAAGTTTTTAGCCTTTTCACTCATATTGTGAAGAAAACAAGATGGGTAACAGAGTTTGATCCACTGATATAAAATAATTTATCTAAATTTCAGTGACAAATTTCTCTATGTTTTCTGAACCTTCCCATAAAACACACGGATTTCACTCTGCAACAGAGTCCGAGGGCTGTAAACACATATATGCAACTGAAGTATTTTGATTCCCAAGCTTTTAAATTGTATACCAGAAAGAAAAAATTACTAAAGACAAAGGTAACATGTTTGTTTAGCATTGGAATATTCTCAGACAGAGTGTTTTCTAAGGGATTGGTCAGTTTTTCAGAAGACAAACTATTAGGGATATCTATTGGATAACACTTTTAAAGAAAGGATAATGAGAAAGTCCATCTCATCCAGGACTCTGATTAGAATTTGACTCTCAAGGCCCTTGCTCTCATACATTTTCTGAGCAGCTTATCTAAATGAGTTAGTTTTAGTCCATTCTCCAGCAAATAGATGTTCATTATCATTAGCTTTCCTGCATAGCACAGATACGAGCTGTGTTTGCAAGTCTTCAGTTAAACTATTTTTCAAGTGGCTTATTTGAAAGATGCATATAATGTTTCCCTTGCTAGCAGAGAAAAAGCCTTTAGGAACATGTCAAACACCCTGGAGTACAGTGCAATGACACCTGCTCCAGCAGAAATCAGACAAAAACGGTGGAAATCTCTGTCAGTGTGCTACATTTAATAATCCCAGCATTGTGCCAAGGTACTATTGTTCATGATGTTGCATGGATATCCTATCCTGAGTCAGCATTATGTGACTTTAACCCTTCATCACAATTTTATGGTATAGTAGTGCTTCTAATCTGTCAGTAAAGAAAGCAAGCTAAGCAGTTTCCCCCCGTCATTTTGTTCTAACAGCACCACAAAAACAAAATAGTGACTGAAAACAAGCGTCACAGAAAAATCCAAATGCAAACTTGTTTCAATTTAATTACTTTCTAAATGCTCTTATTGACTTCATACTTTCTGAAGATTGTATTTTACTTTGCATATTGCATACTTTATTACTGGGAGCCTGCTTCTATGGCTACAGTATGCGTAAAACTAAAACATTATAAAAATACGCATCACACTAAGAAATCCGTGACATGCTTCAAATCAGATACCGAACAACGTTCTTCTACTTCCACTAACCTCAGAATCCATTCCTTGCATTTCATTCTTTTCCATTTGAAACTGCACAAAATCATCAATAACATGAAACAGTTCAGGAGAGACAGCTTTGAAGTACTTGTGGTAGTCATACTTTACAGCTAATGATGCAAAAATGGTATTATTGACTAAAGCAGATCGTAGGTCAGTAAGAACTCCTGGAGAGTGTTGCCGTGGGTCTTCATAAAGGTGCTTGGTTATGAGGTAGTCCAAAATTGCATCTCCCAGGAATTCTAAGCGCTGGTAACAATCTTAAAAGTGTTGGAAATAAAAGAATGTACAACACCACAATTAAGTTTAACACACACATTCTTTCCAGGCCTTTCTGGACAAGAGGTTTGGTATGCTGCCATGTAAATTCCACAAATTAACCAGTGCTCAGAGAAGACAATCTGTTTTTTACAACAGGTATCTTTATGTTTAAAGAGATTATTATTGAATTATTAAAAACAAAACAAAACAAAAAAATAACAGAAAAACCAGAAGTTATATTTAATAATAAAGCCACTTTTGAACTAAATGTTAATTTGTCAGGCTAGCAAAATACTTGTGTTTATAATCAATTAATGTTTTTACTCAAGATTTTCACATTGTGCCAAGAAACATCAAAAAAGTAAAATCAAGAGGTTCCACCAGCACACTGATGTAAAAACAATAACAATTAAACCTCCAAAAAATTAATAAAGAAAATCAATGTATTAAAAGCAGGGGGAACATACAATCTGAGATTTTTCATCTAATTTGCCACAGATTTAGAGTTCTCAAAAAGCACTGAACAAAGATTCCCATTCAGAATGGGTCTTTTAAACGGGAAACTAAAATTGCCAAGCCTTTGCTGTTTGGAAAATTGACAGGGGTCGTGGGAATGGAGAGCTATGGAGGTCTATTTTTAGAATATAAACAAAAGCAAAAAACCCTCTTGAAAGCAAACAGGGATAGGTAGGTAGAGAGGGAAGGAAGACAAAATTACTCCAAAAGTAACATGAGAATGAAATGGCTAGTACTAAGTTGCTTTTATAGCAGCTGAACATAAGATGCTGCCAAATCTCAACTGCTAGCTACTCCTTAAGAGAAAAAGTTACAGGTAACAGCAATTCACAGTTGTCTTACTTGATAAATAGAAATGGAATCAAAAGTTTCTGCTACCAACAACATAATTTCATCTAGACACCATACCTCAAGGTTTCTGTTTGTTAGTATATATATAAAAAGGAATCATCTACCTTGTATATGTTTTGTGAAATATTTGTAAAAAGTAAATATATATGTGGTTAATATTACCTAGAATGAAAAACCAAAGGACCATTTCAGTGTTTTGTCAGAACTGTTTCTCAATGTACTAACATTTCAAAAGGACTTATTTCTTTGATTAAAGCAGAGCTTTCTTACTCCTGGGAATAAGGAACCAATTCACTACAGGGAAAAATTCAGACTGCTGACTGCACAGGAATTTGCCATTCACTTCAAATAGGGTTGGAATTTTACCATGGTTTGTTTTTAATTGCATATTATCATAGGAAAATATTTAAAGTTTTAGAATGAACAAATACTAAATTAATTAGTATAAGTAAAAGTAATTCAAGATTACAGAAATACGGATTTGTACTGCTGTAAAATCTTTTATGAGATCACGTACAGAAACATTAAGCAGTTAACCTGAAATTAACATTTAGTCTGATTTAGTCAATTGCTTCAAACTTTGACTTTAAATATTTACTCAATAAAATGCCTAGACTTAAATTAAACCTTCCAATTCACAATTTCAAATGGAAGTCTCTGTATTTTACTACCCTACAGACTATTCAGCTAATAAAAGTTGTACAGTCCACTTTTAAACTTCAGAAGTACAGTCAAAGGGCAATATTATTGGGATTAAATTATGGGACAAATTTGCTTAATATACTTGCAAAACATGATCACTACTTCTAGAAGTACACTGCATTTTTTCCAGAGTTCTACAAGAAATTACTGCAGCTAAATGAGGATCTAATGTCAGTCATATACAACTAGTGATACAGCATCAGAGATGAAAAATGCTCCTCCTTCCCAGAAATTGATTAGGCTTCCGTAAATCTTCTATCTGTATCAAGTCAAAATATGAATAAATCATTGAGATACAGCTTCAACAAGTATCCCTCTCTAAATAAGGGGCAAGATATTCTAAGATTTTGTATTCAGAGAATATTGACTTCTTAAAGTAATACATGATGTCTAAAAAAAGACTACGTATGGGAACACAACATATACTGCTTCTCTTGCATTTACAATATGGGAAAAAAAACTAGTTTCTTTTAAGACAACTTACCAGTAATGGTATTATAATGGTACGAGGCATGAGTAAATGCCTGAAGAAGATAAGCCTTGTTCTTAAAACTGTAGTTTATTTTCTTCTCAAAGTTTTCAAAACCAGAAATAAGGTGATTTAGGGTTTTTTCAGCATCTGGGTGATCAAACATACACCTCGGTGGAATCTTCAAACAGCCATACTCCAGGTCTTTATACAGAGAAGGCTCTGAATTAGCTACAGAAGCAGAAACAGAGTTTGGTGAAAGACTTTTCTGCTCACTGTTACTATTCTCTCTGGTAGCACACAAAGTGCCTTCCCAATCAGTCTTTTTAATTACAGGGAGCACCTTCAGCCCCAATGAACACAGGAAAAGCTGAGCAGCTCTTTCACCACAGCTGGTCAGATAGCAGCCCAACAGGGCTTCCACACAGTCGGCAATGCTTTTGTCAGCAATACACTGCTCTGTATGCAAGTCATATGAGATAGACTGTTTTCCTGCATCAACACCACAGTTTTCTTCTGATGGATTCCAGAAGCCCACTACAAAATCATCCTCTTCAACAGCCTTGCTAGGATCCAGGTAGCACATAGCATCCCAAGAGCTATAGTCAAAATCATCAAAATCTGATGAAAACTGAACATTACCCAGGGATGACTTTTTGGGTGCTTTCCATTCATAGTTTGAATCAGTGGTTGAAAAGTGTGAGAGAGAAATTTTCTTCACAAAAGCCCCTGATCCCATTAGCATATTATCAATGAATTTGATATGCTCCTGATCATACTCCAGAAAATCATCTTCAAAGTCTGTTTCTTCCTTGGGTAACCTCCACATTAGGTCTTCATCCTCTTCATCATCATCATAATCATCAAGTTTACCATTAGCCAACAAGTTCTCCTTTGTCTATGAAAGAACACAAAAAATATGGTACTGAAGAAGGAAATGAGAAACTTTTATTCCAGAACTGTCAGAAGAGTAGCATTTGAGTAGTGTCTGCTAGTAATAAGACTGATTTTTTTTTTAATGTTCCCAATTACATTGTCTGATGAGATGCACAATACAACCTCAATTAGCACTAGCATTCTAAGACTAGAATAACTGTCTTGGAATAAAAACACTTTATTGCTAACCTATAATAGCATATGTTCAACATATAATACATGCTGCATTTCATAGGAACTCATGCTTATGCTTGAGTGTGATGCACATACAATTAACTTTAAATCCACTAAACATTATACACTTGCACACCAAAGTAAACAAAAGAATTCTACATTAACAAATTCAGAGAAGTACAAGAAACAGTTCTGGATGCATCCTTCTCCCTAGCTGCAAAGTACAGCTATTACAAATGTTGATTCAATGTAATTTTGAAGATTCTTTCTACATCCTTCTATGGCAAATACTAAGGGACCAGCAGGGTTTACTACAGTCACAATCACAATAATCTCAGTTTTGGGACACACAAATGGAAAACGCATTCAATGAAACAACTGTCAGAACTTTTTTACCCTAGTTCAATAATCATCATTTGAAACAGCAAAATACATTTCTCTATGCTCTCAAACACAGTTAGCTGCAAATTCATTCAGTCTACTTGGGAAACTAGCAGAAAGTAAGTGTAGTGAATCAGTGTAGGTCTATTTTATGTTACAGATCAAAACCAACAGTGTAATACCAGTTAGTTGGCAAGAATCTAATGCTTATGTGGGTGACAGTCTTGACTGCATGTATTGGGGATTCAGTAAGTGATCTTGCTGCTTATTAGACATTAGATATAGGCCAAATTTTACTTCTGTAAGAATCACATTACAAGCCAGTAATTCTTAATTTTTACAAATATGAAATGTCTCCAGTTTGTCATACATTTAATATCACCAGGATTTCAATATAGCAGGTCTAAAAATGGAAAAGTAGAAAAAAGGCACGCTTCTGTAGTATAGGTTTTTGATGTTTGTTTTTAAACTGAGTATTAACATATACATTAAATCATGAAGTAGGATAATATCTCAATACAACAACAACTAGTATGAATCCTATGTCCTTTAAAGTACATATTTGCTTAAAGTTTTGGGTTTTTTTCAGGCTATACTTATAGCCTTAACTAATTAAAAGAAAAGTCAAAGTTGTCACCAATTTTTTAATACTTACATACATACCCACAACAGCAAAACTAATGATGTCTCATGTATTTTCCCTGCTCATATTCAGCAAATTCGTATGGACTGATATAAATTATAAATTGAACACAGATATGCCCAAGCTATACAATGCTGTTCAATTTGCCATGGCCCCAATCCAGGAAGGCACTTAAACATGTTAGCTAAATGCACAAGTAGCCTTCCTAACATCAAAAGGACTATTCACAGGCTCAACCCAGCCTCACTGATGTCAGCAGGAATTCTGCCACTGAATTTGACAGGAGCAAGATCAGATTCAAAGTGCTTTTCTGGATTGGGTCCTGAAAGCCAACACCATTTTGAAACAAGTGAAACAACCTATATCTGCCCTCAGTCTATGTATGGCACATTGTAGGTCTCAGTCACATAATCCTGCAAATCAATGAACCAGATGCTACCACTGGGGACCTCTCCCTTTGGGCCAAATGTACAACCCTCTAGAGGTGTGGATGGGCGGCAGCTGTAAGGTGCACTAGGCAGCACTTGAAACCATCTAAGGATCAAACAGATCATGACTTCCTCATCAGGATGGAGCAGACTTAGTCAGGTTTAGAATTTCTGCTGCTGTAATTACCCATCTCGCATACATACAGCAGGGATTTCTGTAACTCGAACTGATCAGAAAGACATAGCAAAATTTGATTTTAAATAGTTATTTTGGATACTAGTAGCAGTATAATGCTCAAAATAAAACTAACCCAGTCTCAACTAAAGCTAGTGCTGATTTTTTCTTGTTACACACCACCTGTCATATCTGTCACTGAAATAAAAATACTTTCTGAATGAGACACGTCTATATGGACGATTCAAAACAGATTTCTGTGCCTGTTTTTGCAAAGATTTAACTTTGCAAATTTGATTAACTTTGATTTTAACAATTTCATTTTTACTACAATTTCATTCACAAGTTTCTTAAAATAAAATTAATTTTAATTAGCAGGACCACTACATGAACTACCCCAACACTCTCTGCACATCGCTTCTTGTATAAAATAATCAAATTTTAAGTGATGAGAATGAACAGTAGGTAAAGAAGCCATAAAACAATTCTGATAGTTGGGGTTTTTTCATCATCAGACAGCATTTCAAAAATAAAACAATGAATCCCAGAAGAAAAAAAACCCTTTTCTTAAAGAATACCTAATTGATTTTGAATAAGTTATGGCCACTTACAAGCTGAAGTTAAAATACATGTAAGTGCTTTTTCCTGCTTTTTGGAAATCAGCTGTTTGATCAAATGAACAAAGGAAGATTCTTCCCCTTAATAAAGCTGGATAACACAAAAAATACCAACGTTTGACAAGGATGTTTCAGTAATAATTTGTCATAATGAGATTTCTAGCCCCAGTTATAGACCATCAGCCCCTGGATGGAGAAGGAAATTTACATCTGAGAAAGCATAATATCTACTTGGCACAAACCCCCACTTCTTAGTTGCATCACTGTCTGTATTTTGGTCTGAAATTGTGTGGTTTATTTACAAATAAACAGTGACTAGCAAAGAGGAAGAGGCCACTGGAAAGTTATGGAGAACTGAAAGCTTTTTAAAACCAATGAATAGCTCCTGTTCCAAATGTACTATCTTATTTTTAGAAAGGTATAGCAGTAAGACTCTTTGAAATGAAATCTTGGCACAATAGAGAACCACAATAATCAGGTTGTTTTATTCTGCAATAAACATTTATTTGCACAGTACATCTACCTAATAGTCCTCTCGTGTGCCCTCTGGTGGTTCTACAATCCGAGTGTGCTCTTCAGAGTTGGGAAAAAGAAAAAAAAAAATCCCTCCTCCTCCTCCTTCCCCTGACCTCCAAACCAGTCTCAAACACTTGAAGATTTCATTACTGACTGCTGTGATCAGTGCTATTTCTTATACACACACTTCTACTTTCGACATACAATGAGTTTAGTCAGAAAATACTTTGAATCGTTCCTCATTAAGATTTGTCATTCTGAAGCTTTTGGTGACAGACAGTGAGGATGTCTAAGCCAGCATTTTACTTTGGATGAGAAGTAGCTCTCAGTCATACTCATGGTATAACTAACAGCACCCAATACTGAACATTTTCTCAAGCCAGTTATAATCTTCATTCTGCCTTTGCACTACGAAAAAAAGCAACTTCTTTTCATATATTCTATAAAGGTGAACTCATTTATTAAAAAGCAGTCTTCTGCCTATATATGTATTACAGCAAAACCAGTAATGATAATTCCGTTTAAAATTTTGAAATTTCAGAAAAACTCCTGAGAGCATGCTAACTACAAGCAAAAAAAGGTTTTCTTCTCTGCTTTTCCATTAATGTATATACTCATTATTGCATGACGTTCGGTAAATTTCCTTACTTCGGGTTCTATTCAGGGTCAGTTTTCCTCTCATTTTCCGTAAGTTACAGTGAAGTTTTAGAAAAGAAGCAAAGATACAGGTTTACTTTTGTTTTGCTGAAAACATAGTAAAATATCTTGGTGGTGGGAGGAGGTAAGGGTGAGAGAATACAGACATGCAAATAATTATTCTCAGCGTAGTTAAATGAAGTCTTACCGTTTCATCTTTCTCCCACTTATCAGTGTTGCTCTTGTCCTGGTTTACTATGTAACCAGGAGGAAGCCAATTGACTGGGGGATCAAAAATCGACACCACCATGCGACTAGGCAGTCCTTTCTTTTTTCCAAGGCGATACAAGTTGCAGTTGCTGACCTTCAAGAAAAACAGTCTGATAAACCTCTGGACATACATTTACAGAAAAAATAGGTTAAAATGCAAAAGGAGCAAAACAATTTTACATGTAAAGCCAGATCTTGTACCATTATGCATTTTCTCTAGTTCTCAAAAGGGAGTTCAGCTTTCTTAATATAGTACAACCAATCACAGCAAGGTACAGATTTAAAAAAAAAAAAAAAATTATTTAAGGCCAAGCATATTAGGCATGACAACTTCAGTTAAAGAAACCCAATAGATTAAATTCTCTTTGCAAAACAAAATTATTGCTACTTTTAAAATAATAGTAAATATAACCTGTACAAGTGTCATTAATTACCAGTATTAATAATCAACATTCAGACTAGATTTGCAATGAAAAATGATTGCTATTATGGATAGATTGACCTAAACCTTGGCAGTAGAAAGTGTTAAAACAGTTCGTATAACAAATCTTATTAAGTCATAATCCAGATGTTATTTTGACAGCCTCTAAAATTCTTTTAAATAAAGGGAAGGGAAAAAAACACTTTCACATACACAAACATACTTCCTTTTCCTTTTTAAGTATCAACTTCTGATCTTCATTTCTCATTTTAACCACACTTTTCATGTTTCTTTTTAAAGTCTTGAAATTTCAACTTGAATATTCAATCACTGCCTTTATTTGACCTGTGCAATTTATTTAGCTCTCCTTATCTTCCAAGATTAGACTACTCAATCATTTAATTCTCAGAGTGATGCATTTTATTAGAGGTAGACAATCAAATCCTTAGAATTTAATTCAAGTTATCACATTATGTGGGGAAAAAACCCAAACCCAAACTTTCACGATTAATTATTCCAGAATTTAAAAACAGCAGCAGTAGAACTGAAGGCTCTGCTTCCTACTGTTTACACTTACTTTAAAATGCTTTCAAAAGTTTTGATGCAACAGCTCTGTAAGATTTTTTTGTTGTTTCATTTTTAGTGTTCCTGTAAGACTATGCTAGAAGTTTTCAAGGAAAGTAGCTTATTGAGGAAACAAAGGAAAGGTCAAATACAACTACAACCTAAGGTTCTGTGCTGCTAAGTCAATCCTTCCTTCAAGTGCTCCTGTTAAAGAGTTTCTACTCAATACAGCTCTAGTGTTCAGTCCAAACGTCCTCACTAACCCAGAACTTTTAGTTCTATTCAGTCCTGTCCTTTCTTAGGCTGGTAATCAGCTCGTTTAGATTTCAAAATGAACTGTACAAAACAGTTTCAATCAATCAGAGTTATGGCAACATTAATCCTGTAGTCCTGTATTTTTATTCCTAATATGCATGCTACCCAACATATAATCAGTAAAGCTGTGGAATTAAATCAACCTGTTGCCATTCAATCTAGCAAAATTTTTATATGTATGGCTTGTTACAGCATGCCTGTTACATAATACCATTGGATTGTTATTACTTACTTTTTTGCTTCTCATATATGACAGCCGTCCCTCATGAGCATCAGGGTAAGTGCAAAACAAGTATGTAGTGATGGCATGCTTTAAAAATGAATCACCAAGCATTTCTAGCCGCTCCAGATTAAATCCATCACTAGCATTTGAAAGAGTCAAAGCTTGAAGAATGAGACCAGGATTAGGACCGAGAGTTTTTGAGGAGTACCCACTGGAAGGGTTCTTTTCAGAATCTGCTCTGTCTTTTGAAAGATTAATAGCTTTTGAAGTAATGGTGGTCACTGCCATTTTGGGGCATCCATCTGAGGTAGATCTGTTAGCATTTCCATCAAGGTATTTATTACTCAGTAGAGTACATTCATTGCTGGGCTTGGGCTGGTTCTCACTGTTGTATAAATTCTGAATGGGATATGAGGTAGTTGGTTGTACAGGTATTTCCTGCCTGCAGTAATTCAGCTGATTTCCTTGGCAAAAGTCTCTGTTAACTAAATCACAATTGCCATTGGCAAGATTTTTATTATAAGAAACACCATTAATTGCTGCAAGTTCTGCCGAGACATCAATTTGGAGTTTACTGGGTGACTCATTGAGTAATGTTCTGTAACTCACAGACATTTGGTCATGGTTTTCTGCAGAAGAGGTTCTATTAGCACCTTGATGTGCAGCATTTTCAGGGACTACAATTGTGCTGTGCTTACAGTAATTTTCATTCTCTACTAAAGAGGAGTTAGGAATAGAGATGAAGGATTTGCTGTCAATAGACTTTTTCCATCCGAAGTCCAAGTTAGGATATCTGTAAAGATACATGCTGATTTTGTTAACAAAATAATATTATCACAAGACAAGAAGACTCTACATGCAGATACATGTTTAAAAAAAGCCACGTTCCTCTGAAAAGAACAGTGACCGCAGCATCTAACTTCACCATTCACAATCAAGTCTTTTTAAACTATGCTTCACTGATGTGAGTTAAACAAAGTGTATCAGTTTTAAATTCATGCAGTAATGGTTAAGTTTCCACCTTGTTTTCCAATGAAGTCGGATATATTGAAAAAAGACATGCCTGAAATCTGCAGGAAGTGATTTAACCCCTACACCAGCATCAGTGGCTGTTTGAGCTCTTAGCTCCTCTGCTGTCAAAAGGCAGTGCAGGCGATAAAGTATGCTGGGAAGGCAAACTGCTTTTCTCCACAATGACGCTGGAATAGGATGTATAGCACAGAGCTCTGGAACCAGTATCTGGGGAGAAAAGGGGGGAAGAAAAGAATTTTACCTTTAAGGGTAGTCATCAGATCACTGTTAAGAGAGAGGCAACTGAATTAAATACTTCTATTTTACCTGCTTATTCTGCAAACTTTCCCACTTTGCTTTCCTCTTCTCAGCACTGCTTAGTGGAAGTGCTTTCCCCTTCTGATTCAAATGTCGAGGAGTCAAAAGATTAAGTCTAAAAAACATGTGAAGATACTTTAATGTAAGTACATAATTAATGAATAGAACTTACTAGCCTAAACTTTCTGAAGTGATGACTTATGCTTAGTATTCAACCTTAATGCATTGCAACAAGCAAGTGAAAGTACAGTTACCCCTGCAAAAAAATGGACTCAAGTTACAGTTATAACATAAGTGAAGTACCTCAAGAAAAAAAATCAGAGTTATTTTGGAAAACACAAGCCCTCAGCTTTATCCCATAATTAAAAAAAAAAAAAAAAAGGCACTTTATTGTCAAACTACAAACAGCAGACACAAATATGACTGTTGTTACCTTGAAGATGTGTGGTCCACATCCAGCAGTGGCTGGTTGAGATTGGTAAGGTCAAGATTATACTTGGTTTTATAATATTCAGCAAAAGTTTCATATTCAGGGGAAGGGAATTTACTGAGTGGAGTAAGATCAGTGTATACATCAGCTACATAGAATCGATGAGGCTGATCAAAATTTCGATACCTAAAAAAAAACCCAAACAATATTTTGGCATATGTTATAGCGTTAGAGTAAAGCGTGTGCTAAGTTCTTCATGTTCTAATGTGGTCAGGTGATAAACCATTAAATAGCTCACTTGAGGTTTTTGGTTGGTGGGGTTTTTGTTGTAGAAACCATTTTTTTTAGCTAACTCAAATACTAAATGAGAAGTGTGCTATAAGATAAGGAAGAATAAAGTCAATCTATAATCTATGAAATTCCCTCTACAGAAACATTTAAATTAAATGCAGGATTTATGTCTTTAACATCTAACACAAAATCAAGCTCTGGACAACAATCTCCAAGACTAATGCTGCAAATGACAATTTCTTAATTCCAAACACCTAACAATGAAATTTGGTAATTGGGCTTCTTAATGTCTAGTCTCTTATGTGCTACTGCATACAAAGACTGTACTACCTCACATCTAAACTGGCATTTTACCCAAGTCATCCCACAAATAAAGTTAAAATACAAAACCCCAAATACATAGTAAGGTAAATTCACAAGTCTTCCAAGGACAACGCAGTTCTTGTAATAAAAGCAGAATGTTAGAAAAATAAAGCCAGAATGCTGCAATACCTCTACTGTCGCTACTGATGCTCACTGGATATACTACGGTGATAAACAGGCAGAGGAAAATAATAATAAAAAAAATCATGAAATCAACATTCAGTATATAGATTTGCACATTAACTAATTTCATACTTTGATCTGCTGCATCTATCACTTTAAGCTTCTATGCAAACACTGTTTACACACTATTAGTGAGTCTTTTCAGCTTCCTTCCAAAGAGAAAATTCAAGAAAACCATGTTCCCAGGCTGTCTGAACTTCTTCACTGAAGGACATGCTGGTTAAAGGAGCTTTCAGGAAATCCTTTTTTCTTATGTTATTCATAATCGTGCCTATTCTGAAGAATTCCATCAGAACTGTACCAATACACAGTCACTGTATTATGCTTCCCCTGCGGAGCTTACAAGCAAGTAGGACAGAGAAGGATAAGTACATATTTCCACCATTTTTACATTGACTGAAGACAGAAGTACTTGAAATTCTGACATTTATTAATCTATGAAACAAGGTCAAAAATGTTTTGGCTTCTCCCAAGCCTGAAAATTATCAGATGGCAACTAATAATTCTCATAAAAGAGATGTACTCAGCCCCCTACCCGAGCCCCAACCCCAATTTAAAAAAAGCCGGGGGGGGGGGAAGGGGGGGCGGGGGGGGGGGGGAAGAATAATACTGGTTTAGACACTGTGGCCAGATCTTCAGACAGGTGAAATACCATAGCTTCAATGAAGTCCAGCAAGTGTGCTAATTTGCACCACCTATGAGCTACTTCTACAGGGTTAACTCTGATCATATGAAGTAATGCTTATACACAGTGATGGTTCAGCATTACTTTTTTACACTAGCATTTTTACCACGGTATTCATCAGCACTAATAGGAAGATATTTAAAGAAAAAAAAAGGTCTAACACAGATGAGGCCAAAACAAAGTACTAATATTTATCTTCCATATATATTATGCAACCACCATTGCTTACAATATACTAGGTACAAGCACAAGCCAGTCATCCATTTCATTTTTTCACATCATGCCAAACACGACAGAGAAAAATTAAGTCTTCAAAAACCCCACCGATTCTAGAGAACCTTTGCATATCCAGTACATAAAATGATGTAAACTTCTCCTCTAAATACCACTCCACAGAAAGATTCTTTTAACTGGTCTTTTCCAGTTGTTAATTTTTCCATCTATCAACAGCATACCTTCCTTTAGTAGGTCTTTGGTGTGTATAAGCAGTAACCAGAGAACACAACTCCCAATCCATCTTCCAAATTAAAATCAGTTTCAGTAGGCCAGTTCTTGATGGAGTCAAAGTTTTATCAGAATACTACATAAGTTTTGTGGTGAACTCTACTATTCCTAATAAAAAGGTAATTAGTCTCTGGAGGCCTAAACACTTAAATCCTACTATATAAGATTAACTATTGACTAAGTTATCTTTAAATTATGACACCACCAGATACCTTCAGATTAATACCATTCATTTCTTACAAGCAATTCTGTTGCAGACACTAACACCCCCTTATTACAAGTGTTTGTATAAACACAGTAGGTACCTACCTAAAGTATGTATACAGTACTCACCGTGGAATGATAACTGCATCCTGGTAATCTTCTAACTTGAAAATAAAAGGCATTTCTTTTGTATATTGTGTACTAGGAATGCCTGTACGAGCCTCAGATTTCTCAATGTCTTCCATAAACTTAAAGTCAATGTCCAAAGTGCTGGAGTCATCAACTTAAAAAGGAAAACATGTAAACTCAGTTATTCAGGGGACAGTTTTCCAGGCTGAACTTTTCTGGGAAGTTGTAAATTACAAAATTTTTTTCTTATTCTACACACATATTTGATTATTTCAAAAAAATTTCAAAGGATATATATATATTTATTTTAGACCCTTATGGAGTCAGCTGAAACCTACTATAAATCAACTCACATCATCAAGTTAAAACTAATTTGGAATTGTGAAGAAATAATAAAAATATAACTGACAAATTTTCATACTACCACATATGGTATCATTTCTACAGCAAACACCTGAAATTTAACATAAACATTAACAAACATGTTGCTAAATTAATTCAAAGTGAATATTTAAAAGACAAGAGCTCTGTTCTTACCAACATTAAGAGGTAGAACACAATAGGCTGAATCAGCTTCTGTGGGTTTGAACTCTAGTGCAGGTTTCTCAAGACGAAGAATATGTGAAAAAATGTACTGGTGGAGTCGTGTTATCAGCTCAAGCATTTGCAGAGACAGAGTAAAACCAGATTTCTTAAGCTCAATAGATATTGTAACCTCTCCAGAGCGAGTATACACAGGAAAGTGAGGAATCTAAATAAGAAAAAACCAAAAGAAATCAAGAGAGAAAATCCAGAATAGGATTCCTCTACAGAGTACCAGTTGTTTAGTTTAGATGCTGAGGCAGCACTTGCCTGACCACACAGCAAACTGCATCAAACTGGATCAGAATTCTGATCCTTGATGACCTTCAATTATAGATGAGATTTTGAAGGCTTAAAGAATGGCTGCCTTTTTTTTTTTTTTTTTTTTTTTTTTTAATAGTTCTCCTTGTGTTTTACAGCTTTTTATATAAGATCAAGTAAAAACAGAAGCCTTTTCCATTAAGGAGAAAGAAATGTGAAAACCAGCAATATTCCTGAAATGTTTTCTTCTGTGGACAACAGAAAATATGATTTGAAAAAATCCTCCTCAGCTGAGTCTCATCCACAGAAAACGCCTTTCTACTAAAAATTAAAATTTTCTGAAGCAAGAGGTATCAATTTCAATTAACATGGTCTATTTTTTCTGTCGCTGCAGACTAGCAATGCTAGGAGGACTTGTTACCATAGCTTTCACACAGATAAGACAGCACTGCAGGCCACCTCTGTAGCTGATACACCACTCCTATCATACCTCATGCAAAAAAAGGAGGACCATTTTGAATTTGCCACCGCAAAATAATAAAAAATAAAATTGTAAAACAAAAGTTTGGCAAAAACGGAACAGATTGTTCCATCACTAAAGACAGAAAATGAAGTGGTGACTGGATGGGATGGATATTATTGCTTATTTTCTGGAAGTTATTTGATATAAGCAGCACTTAGGGTAATTTCCAACCCCTCAGTCTGGGGGTGAGGAATAAGTGGAAAATGACAGGTTGTAAGGCATGTAGAATAAGGAAAGGAGCTAGATTCATTACCTGAGGTATAGGTTTGGCTGTCAATATGCCAAAACATCTTGTCGTATCCTCAGGAGGATATAACTTTCGTCTCCTGAAGTTGAGCTCATCAGGTAGAGGAGTCGTTAACACCATTCCTATTACATACAGGTAACAGGGCTGATCAGGTTTGGGATAACTATCCCTCAAACATTCTGGAATCTAAAAATCAAAACACACACAAAAAATTTAACACGATAAAAATCTGCAAAATTCACATAAAGACTATTTGAACAAGACTTCACATGTTTATTTGGAAAGATACTGCTAAAAATGAGGAATAAAAAAAATTAATCTGGACTTAAGTCATGTTTTCTTTCTTAAGCAAAAACGTTTGGTCAGCAGCCTGGCCTGGCAGCCACTAGATCTGTCCAAACACTTGCATCAAGGGAGCACAATACTCCCAGATCTTCCTATTTGCCAAGAGGCAACTTCCATTGCATCCCTAAATTTCCTCTGTGTCCACCCTGTCTTAGAAATGCAAGTCTAACTGTAGAACAGACAGCACTTCACCATAAATACAAGTGGAATTTTGATGCTAATTTCCATATTTAGCCAGTAACTTCGGAGCACACTTCATGTCCAAGGTCTTTGGACCTTAACAGTTGGGGGTGGGGTGGCGTGTAGAAAAGAAAACGTGTGTGCACAGGAAAAAAACCTACATCCCAGTAATTCAATTTTCATATAAGCTTGGCTGAACCTACAGTTTCATTAACATGGATTCTTTTCCCTAGCAGAACTGTTTAAAAGTATCAGAAAAGTTTTATACACTGCCCCTTTGCCCAGGCACTACACTATAGAAGTTTTCTAATAACAATTCTAGCTTGCAGATGTGAATACTTGCAACACCCACAAGCACTTTTAACTCTGCTGCTCATGTTTGTCATAGACCTTAAGAAACCATGCTTTATGTTTGGTAGGAGTTCATTATTTTGTAGGTCTCAAAAATGATCCTCCTGTTTATCTAAAACTAAATTGCAATACATGTAGTCCTGGATCTTAAAATTATACTGTAGCAAAACTATGGTCTTGGCTTAATGGAAAATTACTCATAAGTTTAATAACTATATTAAGCCCAAGAGGATCTTGTAGACCTTCAACATTTGCCAAAGCTTCTTTTCCAGATGTGAAAAGTTGGTACAAAAGCAAGGGAAAGTATGCTTGGATTCTGCATTACAAAAATAACTGAGAAAGAATGATGCGTCACTTGACAAATCAACTCCTCTAAATGAGAGATACCGTAATTGCGCATTTTGCGAGTCACTCTTATTCCAACAATCACTAGTGAGGTAAGAGGACTGAGAAAGGCACTTATAACAAGAAGCATCAAGAAACACTGTGCAAAGATTCAAACTGGTCGTGAAGTCTTGCAAGAAAAAGGTTTTCTCATCTGTCATTCCCTCTGTAATACACTCTGATGCCACAGTATCCTTTCCTAAGCTTTCCTAATAACCAATTATTTAAACTATTAATAAAATTGGGGCATGCAGAGGATGCCAAGAATGGAATTACTTAAGGGCTATCACCATAACTGAGGCTGCACACAAGAACAACGCAGCACTGTAGCCTACTGCTCTGAGGGTACATGCTGACATTCTCGTATGTGACCAAAGGCTATCAGTTTCTCCGTGAAATGCAAGTGTTATCAGAAGTTACTATGCAATCTATTCTGAATGAGTTACCTGTCCTATTCAAAGGACTTTAGACAGAACCTGTAACAACTGCAGGGCAAAAAGGAAGGTTCCAGAGCAGTTGCAAAATACTCTGACAAAGCTTCTTTTCTCCGTTTTCTCTTAAAGTATTTCATGTTCCTCCATAAATACTATCTAAGAAGTGCAATTCTACAAACTGATGTGGCTGAAACCTGTTGTAACAGATCTATGGATAAGTCACTTAATAATGCAGAGTTACAGTGTGACCCCTTTAGTGTATTAAGTATAATATTTAGAACTATTTTAAAAGTAAAAAATATTAAAAATACACTTCTTTGGTATTCTAAGATTTCAACAAAAATTTATGAAATTCTGTGTTCAACCAGTAAAGTCACCAAACTAAACCAAGCATCTAATTAAAAAAAAAAAAAAAAAAAATTAAATTTGTGTGTTTAGCACCTGACAGATAACTTTGATCCCCTGGGCATCTCCCTGAATCTTCAATTATTTGTCTAGAAAGCCAGTAATTCTTCCTTTGCTCTAGTATATTTACCTGAGAATGTAAAGATTTTACAGATTATTAATGCAAGACAATTCTTCCTCCCGGTTATTTCTATACTTGGCAAATACAGCCAACAAGCTTTACAGAAAGTGTACGTTCTTTGAACTACAAGCACGCTTCTAAAGCGTATGGTCCCATAAGCTCATTCAGGTAATAGTGCAAGTTTCCATACAGTTAAAACTGCAAAATATTTCCGCTACAAATTAAAGACTTATTGTAAAAGGTTCTTATCAGATTAAAAGTTGGCAATTTTGCCTTATCAGTACATAAAGCATTTGATCAGAGATGTGGACAGCAGTGAGTGATACTAACAGCTTTAGGATAGCACTGTCTTCGTTTTGTAGAGCCTGGCCTTCCTGGAACACTGGTTTCTTCTTCATCATGTAAATCAAGCTCCTCCTCATATTTAACCGTTTCTTTACCAACTGGCATCAAATGATCATCCAGTTCACCTGAATATTATGAAAGAGTACAGAGAAATAGCATTATGAACAATCAAATCTTGGTTCCTTCAGATACTACGCAGTAGGTGTGATTGCTCATGAAAACACCTCACCAAAGTTTTTAAACTACACTTATTACTGCAAGGCTCCCAAAGTGTAGCTTTGGGGAAGGAGTGATAAAGGTTTAATTTTTGGCAAAAATACTTATTTATAGTAAAAACATCTGAAATTTTAATTAAAAAAAAACTGAATTCTATAATGACAGTATCAAAGAAAAATAAACTCTTCTTCCCCATAAAAAGCAACCAGTGACTGAAATAGTAATTTCAAAAAATCACTCACATAGAGTTATGCCAAGAAAGAGGGAACAGTTATAGTTCTGTATCATTCTAAAAAGGGAATTACTACTGTTGAATGTGCACTCTCAACACTGAGTTGAGCAATCACGGTGTTATTCTTGGATACATTTATTGGTATGAATTCAGTGATCAAAAGGTTTAACTCAGACAGAAAAAAAATACAAACCCCAGACCTACAAATTTTTTTGCTTAAAAGATACATAAATACTTCTGTACTTCATCAAAGTACTCATAACATGGAATTCTCTTTAAAACATTCCACAATAAAGAATATGCTCCATTACACTTACTAGAGACAAGAGACCTGAAGTAATCCTGCAATGTCCTATTTTTGGAACATGACTTACAATACTGTAGAGAATACAATAAATTTAGGGCTGTGTATTTTATATTTTAATCTGTAACAATTGACTTTAAAAAACAAGTTATTTTTTGGCTGCGGGATGTAGTCCCTGACCTATCATCAACATCTTCTAGAGAACAAGACTCTTTTCCTCTTTATTAAATACATTCAATGTCAAAATCTACGTGTCTTATATTAACACTGCATTTGCTGTTTAAGACAAAATATGTTAAATAACAAGATTACCCTGGAAAATTTAACTTTAGCTTACAAGGTGTAAGCTAAATTAGTAAGTACATGATCGTATCACAAAATAAGGCAAGGGAAAGGAAGCTATATCAGATGGCTATAGCAGAAATGCATGTATATGTGTAACATCCATACCATGCTCAATTTCTCAATTATAAAATATTCTTTACCAAAGAGGTGTTGCTTTTCCAGTTCTTACCAATTTTGTGCAGTTTTTCACAGCAAATAAGAGCTACAACTCTCTCAGCCAGTCTTGCACAACTCATTGGAGGACCCTATAAAAATTTAAATATTTCTTAAGAACTTCGGTTGATTAGCACATTACTTACTATACATGTTTAATTAGTTTAATTTAACACAAACTAGGTAAGCAAAACTTTTTTAAAAAACGCACTGATGACAGTTTTGTGAAGATATTCAAGTTTATGTTGTTTTTCCACAAAAAACAAAATTACAAAATTAAAACAACACAACATACTATTGATCAAAACTGATGAAGGACATTTTCCTACAACTGACACATAAATATGTGAAAAAAGCCAAGGCACTGGGAAGAGTATCTAAACATTTTTACATTTAGAATAAAGAGTAACTGCTGGAAAACAGATTATAACAGAAACAAACCACAATCTAAATACAGTTACAGAGCACAACACAGGAAAAGAAAAAGCAGTTTTCATTAACAACAATGAAACTAATTCTAGAAATGGCACAGACACATCTATAACAACACATTCACTTATTTCCGTACTTTTCTTTCCCCAAATACCTACAACAATTGAAGCTCGAAGAGGTGAGTTGATTGGCAGGTAGAGAGTAGAGTAAAACGTATGATCAGGTAGTTCTCGGGTTTTACACTTGGGAGCTAGGTGCGTAAATGGATCACTCGGCAATCTAGCGCAGTACCTAAGTGCACAAAACATTTTACAAATCATCAAAAGCTGCAAATTGAAACCTAAACACGGTTCAGTGGAATCTTACCTTACTGGTCTAAACACTACAGAAGATGGTTTCAGGCCATACTGAGCACTGCAAGGGTACACTGCTGACTCATTCAACTACCTACAGAGCAGAAGACCTCCAAGTCCTTTACTACAAAGCTGGTCTTCAGCAAGGTGGTTCCAAGGTTGTAATGATGCACAAGACTATTCCATCTCAGGTCCCAGAGTGTGCATTTGTCATTTAATCTTCCGAGTTTACTGTCATCTTATTCCTCTTATCTGTCATGGTTCTGTCCTCTGAATGGTAGTCTTTCCTCCACAGCACTCACTTCTCCCTCTCCCGCTTGGTGTCAAATGCAAACATGCTGATGTTAAACTGTATTGGACCTCCTAGTGGCCCATGAGTAATGCCACATATAACCAGCTGCCAGCTAGCCTTTGAACCATCTACCATTACACTCTTTGAATCTGACTGCTTTGCCAGGTTTTATTTACCAGGCAGTCCACCGAAACAGTCTGCATCTCAAGAATTTGGGTACTAGGAATAAGGTACTAGGGCAATTGCATCAAAAGCTTTACTTAAGTAAATGATATTCACTGCTTTTCTGCGGTTCCTAGAGTCAATCACTTCATCACACAGGAGACAAGGTTGGTCAGGCAAAAACTACCCTCAATAAAACTCCACTGGCTGCAGCCAACCCCCTTTTCCTTTATGCACCTGGAGACTGCTTCCATGAGGACTTCGTCCATAATATTTGATATGACTAAGGTAAAACTGACCAGTCTGTAGCTCCCCAGATCATTTTCCTTGCCTTTTTTGAAGTGTCATAACAGTTATCTTTTCCTGTCACTGAGGGCCTCCTCTAATTGCCATGGCCTTAAAAAGATGGTACTTGGCTAGCCCCCCTTGGAAGCATACCATCCTGTCCTGGGGACTTGTATTATGTTCAGCTTTATTTTTGTTTTTAAACACGACAAGAGATTGCTATTACAAATGTGAATAGTAGAACTGGAAGATTTTACTAACAGTTTTAACAAGCCACTTTTATTTATTTATTTGTTTTGGTATGTTTAAAGCTAGCTTGTTAGCAAAAAAAACCCCAAAATAATCTTACTACCCCTTTTGAAACTCAAGTTTTCAGGGCAGCTTTTAATTAAACAGGGAATGACATCACTATATTTATTATCAGAGCTGGAACCTCTGTAGGACAAAGAGACAAAAAGCAAATTATCCCTTCCAATCACTGTGACCACTTTCCGTAAGAGAGAAGATCCTGTCGAGATTTCTAAGTGAATATGTGTACAATGCCCCAGCCTGTGCTTCCATGTTGCAAGACAAAGAAACTTTTTAGTCAAGACAAGTAGAAAAAAGTGAATATGCCTCTTACCTATTTATGTGTCCAATAGCAGTATTAATAGTAACTCTTGGACTGTTCTCATCTGGCCTCAACACATAGGGTGGAAATACATCATCATCATCAACAATGGGTTCAGTTTCAGTTTCATTGGTATCAACAGATTTTGAGCATTTATTTCTGAGGATCTTAACATTTGAAGAACAGAACATGATGAGAGATTTTCCCCTTAAAAAAATACCTATATATTTAACAAAACCAGGCACATTCCTTTGACCTCATACCTTCTCAATTGCTTTGTATGTCTTAAGATCTTCTTCAAAACTTTTGATTTTGTCTGTATCTGCTAACATAATGTAATTGGAAATTGGTGCTCTAGCTCTTCCTTTTGACTGCACATAGGAACGGTATTCTGTGGGCAAATCAAAACGCACCACCAAGTTGCATTTTGGTATATCAACACCCTCTTCTACAATACTAGTAGCAATAAGTAAGTTCGTCTCATGTGCTCGAAATTTTCTAAGAACCTGCAAAAGTAATGAAGACAAATTTGAGAGATTAGTCCCAGATCCGTTTCCGTCACCAGATTCATCAAAAACCAGTAAAAACAGAGTGGATCAGACATTCCAAAACCTTGTCTAAATATGCAGATATAAAACTAGTACAAAAAAAATCTTTTTGGAAACAGAGCAAGACTATTTATCAGAACAGCTAGGAATCAAACCTGGTATGTGGAATTACACGAGTCCAAGAAGCTAGTACAGCCACTAGCAATGGAGAGGATCCCATCTATTTATTTACAACTAACTTTTCAGCTGTAGTATTAAAAAAAAAAAAAAAAAAAAAAATGCTGCTTTTAGGACAGCATCTTTTCCAACTGTTCTGAGGTTGAAACATCCTTAGGGGGCGGAGCACATTCTAGAGCTAGTATTTAGAATATTTATTAAACAATGCTAAGGAAAGGTGAGGTTTCTGGAGGGAAGTCTGAAAGACAACCCAGCCAGGGGTGAGGGATAAATGCATTTGCTTTCAAAATACTTCACATGTTTTAAGTGAAAGGAAAATCATGTGGTTTTATATTAGTATCATTTAACGATTTACCAAATTCACTCCCAGCAAAGATAAATATTAAAACCAGCTCAACTGTTGAAAACATCAGGAACCTTGATCTTCTTTACAGTATTACTGTACTACTACTAACCCAATGCAGAAAAATTAGATGGTTGATGATCTGGCTAGACACAAACATGATCTTACATGAAGTTTTAATTTCTGTTTGTGTAATGTGACATAGCAATGTCTCCAAACGTTGGGGTTTTTTTTTGTTTGGTTGGTTTTTTAGTGATGAATATCTGTATCTCCAGTAAGTATGCATATCTGTTAAACCCCAGGTATTCCCTGAACTTCCAATGACTGTGCCCCAGACACTGCCTGTTAAGGTTTTTTCTTGTTTTTAAAGACAAACACACACACACACAAGGGAAAAAAAAAAGGAAGAAAACAAAAGGTTCTGAAGATACTGCTAGTTTCCATTATTTTTCTTTAAGTTACCTCTTCCTGTTTTCTGAATTCTACTTCCATCTGCTTGTTACGAGGCTGGTTCTTGCCAATGCCATGTCCAGTTATAAAATTGCTACTGATGTAAGCCAGTTCTGGATCTTGCTTGCCAGCTTCTTTTATCAACCTAAAAATATTACATGTGTTTTTAGAAGTCACACAACCCAGAAAATGGAAGACAATCTTTAGTTTGGAAGACCTACATTAATAGAAAAAAATGGAAGCATGACAATTAAGCCATGCTAACACATAAACTGACCTCAGGCTTCTCTAAAAACACTAATTCTAGTGAAAACTTCTGTAAGGATAATAAAAGACAGACTGCATACATACACAGCATGAGTGTGCATGCATCACATGCATTTCAGACCTACCATGGTAAAACCAGATATTTTTAAACCAATCTATTACTCTAAGGCTCCCTGTTGTTAAGGCACCCTACTCACAACTGCTTTAGTTAATCTCATTTTCTGTAAATTATGACTGATTTTAGCAGAAAGACCTGTAACTGCTCTCTCAACAAAGTATGTTTCCTCAATATAATGTGTTAATTTTCAGGTTAAAATACAGATTCTTATTCTCCTTAATATAATAATAAATATTCTGTTCAGGTATACTAATGACAAAATGTTGACCTGTTCTTCTGAAGAGCAATGCTCAGCCTACCCAGTGAGATGTTTACTACTTCTGAAATTAACCCAAATGTATCTACAATTAGAGGATTTAATCCAATTCTTTAAAAGGAACACTGAACAGGGGGCTAAGGATCATCCATGCTCTCAGTTTATTCCCCTATGTCTTTCTTTAGGTTACAGAATCAGGAAAGGCTGGCTTCTGCAGTGTTTTGATTTCCGACAAGGTCAAGATTACTTATATAAATAATGCACTGAATCTAGAACTAGGCATTTATGGATTTAAAAGCATAATTACATTATGCAATCAAAGTAATTATGCTGCAGCATCCTTAGTTGTTCTGTTTTCAGCATGAACAGAACCTGGGATTTCTCAACCGTAACAGGTTTTTGAGCAGCAGAGCCAATAAAAATCAAGGGATCATATACAAAAAGTTACATCCCTTGCACATCTCACTATAGCCATCCCAGGACCACTTTGCTCATAGCACGTCTGTCATGTCTACTACCAGGTGCTCCTCATATCCAAAGGACAGCCTGCCTCTGTGTACCTCCAACAGTAATCCTAACCTTTCCCAGTTACATCTCTAGCAGTTCTGCCTCACATAAGATGGGTGTTGTGCCAGTCCCCCGCTACATGCCTACCACCTGCCCAGCAGGCTGCTGCCAAACCAGATGGAAAATGGCAAAGTTCTCTCTGCCCTTTCTACCCTTGGAAAACTACTGAAGTCTCTCCCCTTCACCTGGCCGCTGTTTTAAACAAGATTTATGGGAACAAAAAACACCTTGAAGACTTCCTTTCCTTCCTTCACCATCTGTTAAAACTGGAATGGACAGGGAATATAGGCAAGAGAATAGAGAAGTGGCAAATAGCTTGCTATGCTTACGGAAACAGACTGGAAGGATTGTCCTGTACTAAAATGAGTGTGATTTGTTAGTTCAAGGCTAAATGGATTCATGTTTCTGTATGCAGTCTAGGCTCTTGAGACAGACGTACTAAGCATGGGTTAATAACTGGACAAAAACCATAATTATTTTTTTTTATATTTCTTTTTCCACATGGCATATTTGTCAAGTCATATAGCTTCAGTCTGAGTACCTACTAAGCATCTCAAACATTGTTACTGTATCTCACTTATTACAGAAGTGGACAATTAAAAACATCTGAATAAACATTTCACTGTGCAGATCTTTAGCAAGTTCTTGAGAAATATTCAAGACTTCAACCTTGTGGTTAAAAAAGTATTATTAGTGGTAGATCACAGGTGCTGTTTTTCAAACAGATACAAAACCTTCTGCTTTCAGACCCCTCTCAGAGAGAGTTGAAAGGAAATGGAATGAAAATGGAAGGAAACTGGGCTTTAGAAGATGCTGTCTCTTCTGAAAGGGAGCTTACAGACAACAGAACTCAACTGTATACACCAAATAAAACAGTAAGTGTGCCACTTCATCAGTTGTGTGTAATAATAAAGAATAAGTTGAAGTTTTTGTTTGTTTTTAATTTGTAGTATTTACATGTGCAGTGGCTGTTGCTAAAGATCTCTAAAGAAAAATATTATCTCTAATTACTGCTTCAGAGAAAATTCCTACCCATTTCTCCCAGAAAGTACAACACATGCCATGAATTTTGCCCTTCCTTAGCCATCATGGACTTCATAAAATGGGATTCTAGTCTCTAAATACTATCATAATAAATATATTTTAAGAAAAATTATACTTCTGCTTTAACTTAGTTCTGTATAACGATCCATACTAGATTACTGTAAGCTCAACTGGTTTTGATATACTAATGCAAACAATCATGACTTCCTTATTCAGGAGACAGTCTTTCCACCTGTATATACAGCGTAAGTATAGCTACAATCAGCAGACACCCTTGAACTAAATCCACTCAATTGAAGTGAGCCTACAGTGAGGTTCTTCACTGAAAGCTTTCAGTCTTAATTCCAACAGCTCAGGTCTGCTGATCATCCAGGTATTTTGAGACCAGATGTGTTATATGAGGTGAAGGAGCATTTTGAGAATCTGCTAGGTAGCTTTCAGAAGTGGATAGTAAGTTACATATAGTTTTATTTTTTTGCTGCCAATAACCTGTACCAAACATGCCTAAAGCTTAAAGACGGCAGAATTTGGTTACCTATCTGATCTAGACGTCATATTCTGTCAGGTTCAACAGCAGTTAGGATATAGTATAATGCATAAATTGGTCTACAAGAACGCACAGTGGAAAAAGTGTAATTTAAATCACATTCATAACTTAGCAGAGAAGAAAAAAAATTCCCAGTTCTGTTCACTCCCTTTAGGATAATGAAATGCTCATTTCAGCTCAGCAAAAATTTATCAGAATCTGTTAATGTTATTTCTTCAGGAGTTATTAACAGAATATGTTCATTTCACTGAATGGCTTAGTTTGCCTCATATTGCTTATTTATGTAAACATATCTAAAAATGCAAAGAAGGCAAAGAAAAAAGATGAAGTTCACAAAACACATAGGGAAGTCTGCAGATCAAAGAATATATTATGCACTCAAACTACTGACTCACGCAAAAAGGTAACAACAGACTGGTCAGATTCAGAGGTATCCAGAATGCAATAAACAAATTGCATAGGACATTTAGTACACTATCAAAAAACCCCTACCAAATCCTCAAAATCAAGATAGGTGAATAAATCAGATGTCATCCATGGTTTGTGGCAAACAGCATTTAACAATTAAGTGTTATGTAAAACTAACATGAATCACATTCAGGAATAAGAACTGATAAGGAACTAGAGTATTGCATAGTATACCTTGGCAAATACTCCAGGGTTCATATTTTTCTTGGTGGAGACTTTATGAAAGTGCTTAGTGTTTGACTGAATAGGTTTTTTATAAACACCAACTGTTAAAGTAGTACTGGTAAATCTTAAAGATATTCGTGCAAGGGCAAATTTGATTTTCTGTAGACTTGGATCATATAATAATGTGATTTAGTAAGGTAATAGTAAAACTTCCAGGAGTGTTGCACTCTGTAGGTTAGGGAAGTTTCCAGCATCCATTGCAAATATAAATTTAAACACTGATTAAGACAAATCAGTATATGAGTATTTTACAAGTTAAGCACAGTGTCCTGGTTTCAGCTGGGATAGAGTTAATTTTCTTCCTAGTAGCTGGTGTAGTGTTATGTCTTGGATTCAGTATGAGAAGAATGTTGATAACACACTGATGTTTTCAGTTGCTGCTAAGCAGTGTTTAGACTAAGTCAAGGCTTCTTCAGCTTCTCATGCCCAGCCAGCAAGAAGGCTGGAGGGGCACAAGAAGTTGGGAGGGGACACAGCCAGGACAGCTGACCCAAAATGGCCAAAGGGGTATTCCATACCAATGGATGTCACATCTAGTATATAAACTGGAGGGAGTTGGCCTTGGGGGATCGCTGCTTGGGAACTAACAGCATCGGTCGGCAAGTGGTGAGCAATTGCATTGTGCATCACTTCTTTTGTATATTCCAGTCCTTTTATTAGTATTGTCATTTTATTATTGTTACTATTATCATTATTAGTTTTTTTCCTTTCTGTTCTATGAAACTGTTCTTATCTCAACCCACAAGTTTCACTTTTTCCTTTTTGATTCTCTCCTCCATCCCACTGGGTGGGAGGGAAGTAAGCGAGCGGCTGTGTGGTGCTTAGCTGCTGGCTGGGGTTAAACCACGACAGTACAGTATTTCACATTTTGCCTTCTAAAGGAATCAAATTACAAACTCAGGTCCAAAACAAGCCCTCGAGTACAATTTGCAAAGACACATGCTCTTCCCATCCACCCCATAAATACATAGAGTGAATTTTTTTGTTGTTATTCTTTACACAGATCCAGTATGATCTCCTAAACCAACTTTAAAATAGAGTTCTGAAAATACAAGACAATCCCCTACATATTCATGATATTAACATCCATGTGCCTGCAGCTGAGTCTCTTTTTTCTTTTTTTAAATGCATTTAAAAAAAAAAATAAATAAAAAGCTTTACCTATTTAGAACAACTGCTGTGTATCTTCTTTCCACAAAAATAATTCCACATAAAATATTAGTAAAGGGAGATGGGAAATTAGTCTCTGGCTTCTCTTTCTCCTCAATTTCTTCATCCTCCTCATCATCTTCAGAATCACTCCAAGATACGTAGTTATCCTGATTCCTATTGTTATACCATTCAACACTTTCAAACTGCTGCCGTTCATATGGTTTATATTTGCGCAAGATTTCAAGCAGCTTTATTACTTTTGGGGTTACAAATTTCAGATCAAGTGAGGCAGGCGAGAAGTGCTCTTCACAGAGTGCATGTATTTTCCTTAGGAAAGTGTCTGTAAACAATAAAAATTTCCTGTGCAGCTCCTCTTGTTCATGTTTGATATACTTCTGTAGCTCTCTCACCATCATCCCAGCTACCTTATCTGCACACCAGGGTCCCAGAACAACCAACACAGCTCGACAGTCTGACAGTATCTACAACACATGAATTCAAATATCAGTTCAAAGAGTACATTCGTGAACTATTCATTTAAGACTGAGATCTTGTTTCTCATATAGCGCAATCTTTGTAAGGATTATGACAATTGTTCTATTATAAAAATATTTAGAAGTCTGCTTTTGTTATTTAGATGACCTTGGGAACTTTTGTGTTTCTAATGGGGCAAGTTTCCCCCTCCCCCCTAAATTACTACAACTACACTTTGAACTTTGTATGTTTCCGAATCTCAAAAAAAAAAACCCCTTAAAAGAGTATTTTAGAATTTAATGGAATTGTAATTTGAAATTTACCTTAAAATAATTATGCTAAGGAGAATACTTCTTGAGACAGCTAGATAAATAAAGCAGAAATTATTATCCTTTATATTTAACATAAAACTAATAAAATAGACAGTTTACTGGGCATTTTTACTTTATTTGTTACTGATACTTGCCGTGGTTTCAAAAGCATCTAACCAGAAAGTTGTACAGTGGCCTTAGGGTAATCTTAGCAAGTCTACCCTCTCAAAGGAAAAAAATTAGGGGTTTGTATGTGTGGGTGAAATAGGAAAACAAGAACTATACCCTACTCAGAGACCATAGCATAGGTAGTTGAGTACCATCAACATCTTATCTGATGGCATACTTTCCGCCTGAAGAGTCAAGTGTTCAAACAATAAACTAGGAATCCAGAAATGGGGTACATTGATAATACTATTAAAAAGACTCAGGATTTGGATGTACCATTACAACAGAAGAATTACAACAGAACTGTAACAACAGTCAGGATGATACAATTTTCAGTTGCTGCTTTAATTTCTCTTCCTTCTTCCCTTCTATGAAAAAGTGAAAAACAGGTTATCATCCTCTTTACACTATCCTCCCTGAAGTTTGTCAGCTGTAAGTATTAAGGGCAAAATTTGTCTAAACTAATCATAATTGCACATAGAGGCTGGATGCTCTCTAGTGCCAAGACAAAAGGCTCTTCAGGCTGAAAACTGATTTCTTAATATGGGTGCCTCCATCTTCTTGGAAAGCTATTGGATCAGAAAACAAGCACAGAGGGTTGCATTAGAAGCACAGCAGTTAATCCACTCTTCTGGACTATGGAAATCTTGGGGACTGCCACCAGCATTCTTTATATATTTTATCCTATTACATTTTGAGTTTAGCACAAAAGTAACCGGGAGTTTCTTTTTCCATGCAGCTGTGATAGGCTGCCTTATGTATCATCCTTCCCTCTGGCCCAAATAATCTTTTTCTGGACAGCATCAGAGTGCTGGGTTTCTAAGAATGTTGAAGGAAACTGGAATACTTTGGGCTGAGTAAAGAAATATGTTCTCCAACTTCCTCATGGACTATTATAGAAATGTGACTCGCTGCTGACTTCTTGTTAATCAAAGACTTACATACCTAAATAGTTGTACCTCAGGAGGCAATTCCAAACCACAAAGCCCAAGAGGGAAAAAAAGCTGCCCGAACCCCATGTGTCACAGGTCCCTACTCAATACACCATGCCTTCTGGCCTCTTCTCTGCCATCTCGCATGACAACATAGAGGCAAACACATGGAAAGTTAGGGGCAAGCTTGAGGCTCAAATTCCATTCCAGCTAGGTGTGGCACTAGTCCAATATTGCTCTAAGATAAATTGTAGAAACTGTAGATCTATGGTTGGAATTTTTGCCTGAATTCTTACTTTATCATCCTTTAATACACCTGGGTACAGTTTTTCCAAATACTTCCCGAGGTATTATTTCTTCTTCTGTACTTAATTATTCAAAGGTCATGAGAGATCACAAAGGTGTCAAATTCTTGACTTCAGAAATAAGGCCCCACAACATCAGGGTGCAGAATTATTTTACTGCCTTAAGCAAATTTGAATCTCAGACTAGATGAAGGTCTAATCAATGGTTGACATTGATGCCCCACTCATTTATGGAAAGACCTGCGCTCTTAGTGAGTACAAAAATCAGAAGTCTTTTTGCTCAGATAGTCTAGGATGGCTAGCTTAGAAAGTTTCAATAATGTAACATACATGGCAAAGAAACACAGCAGTAAGATTTCTATTCCCCAGGTTTTTCACGTAGCTTAATGTCCTTACCTGCTTAGAAATTAAGGTGGAATCTCTTTCTTTTGAATGTACAGATATGTTGCAGTCATTTAGAAAAGTAAGCGCTTCATCCAATTCCTTTAATAATCTTCCATACAACCCACTTTTGTCAGTATATGGTCCACAGTCTACAACAATCTCACATGGCTGAGAAGTATATCTTAATTGAGGGCAAAGATCAAGTTAAACACAGCTTCTCAAAGTCAGAGCTATTTCAGCCTGTTAAGGTTATACAGCAAATAACAACAGCAACATGAAGTATATTCAAGCACGTTTCTTTCCCCACCATGAATTAATAATGATGAATAGTTACACAGTTAAATATTTCAAAGTAAAACACCTCCACCACCCTAAATACTTCATTCTAAAATATCATTCCTTCTAATACACTCCCTAAAAAGGAGGTTAATATCACTAATATTAATTTCAAATATTGGAAAATCTAAGGCAAAGCAGATTGTATTTACTTGACCACCATCTTCACTTTTATTTTTCCAAACTGTAATCTTTTGATATGCCAAATACAATCCACATAATGTCAGTTTAGGTCTATATATACACACTTACACAAGTAATTACTCTTCTTGAATGACAGAGCTATGAGTGAGAAATTCCTAAAAGCAATGGTTCACTCAAGTTCAGAAAAATGCCTTTAAAAAACACACCCACAAAACACCTGTTTCAGAACATGAAATAACCATCTTTGACCTTGTCTGAAACTCAGTTCACCAGTACAGCTGGTGCAAGAAAACATGGCGCATATGAATCATTTCACACTAATTTTCCTCTACAACAAATCATCATTCACAGGATTCTACATTCTGTAAGAACATACAGGAAAAGACCCACTCGCTCTGCTATTGCTCTGCTACTTCAATATTGGTTTTACTGCTCCCTCACATCTCCCTCTCTTTCATCAGCCTCTAAACCCAGGCTACTCTTGCGGCAGGGGCAGAAGGGGGAAGAAAAAAAAAATCATGCAACTTTTCTGGCATTAAGAATATCTTGTACTGTGGCTGTTGCAACATTTTCCTAAATTAAATAGCAACATTATGGCACACACTGAACATGAACCAGTTACTCTCCAAACATAAGACAGTGCATTTTACAGATTCAGAAATACGTTGTGTAACATGAATTTTTTGGTTGGGTGTGTGTTGGCGTAGGTTTTTTTGTTGTTGGTTGGGTTTTTTGGCTTGTTTGGGTTGGGGGGTGGGAGTGGTTAGTTGTTTTATTGCCTTTTTTTTTATTTTTTAATTTTTTTAACAATTACAGAGAATCTCTGAATACCAAGGCCAATCAGCCTTTGACCTAACTTTAAGGAAAGATGTACTTCAACACTGGTTACTCAAAACGCAATTTAACATTCCTTCCCTGGTGTGAATAGAAGTAATGGCATCACATACACATAAACTTTCCTAAAATTTAAGAGAGCAAATATTTCTACTGGTTTATTCTTTTAGCCAAAATGAAAACGTAGGCATCAATTTAACAGCCGTAACTGTACAACATACCTGTCTAAGACCACCAAGTCAGTTGCAGTTTCAGCATTGCTCTTTAAAATTTTCTCCAGCTTCTGGATCTTCTCCTCTAACTCGGCAGGATCACATTTCCCATTTAAAATGGAAGCTGTTAATCCCAAGATTCGAGGACATGATGGATAATCCTCACAGATCTGTGAAGTAAAACAGAATTAAATACCTTAACTATTGCAAATCTACCATCAAGCTAGCAGACTGCAAAATTAGATGTTTACATGGAAACTAGAATTTCAATAGTAGGTGGTGGAAAATGAACCAAACATTGAATGAATATTTTCTATTCTAATGACTGGAAGTTAAAGTAGAAATTGACTAACGATTTAACAGCAATCATCTTTAAAGGTAAATATTTACAATGTGAAAAAATATAAAGAAATAAACAGTTAGCATAGCACAGAGTATCCTTGCCACATTTACAACACACATATCATAATACTTCCACACCATGTAAAAACTAAAGTATCATCTAAAAAAAATAGAAGACATATGCTTTGGTTAAACTTGAAGAGAGATTTGGAAAGACATCTATTATACAGGTTTCTCATATTGTATAAGCCAAATATCACATGGAGCCAAGAATACCCTCAAAGAGCCCTGCAAACATCTGTAGAAATCAGTATTTTAAAATAATAAAAACTTATTAGTGCATCCCATTCCCAAACTCATATATTTTGTCAATGAATTTACAAAATTCCTCTAATTCCATAAATTTAGCTTCTCTTTTCTGTTAATGCCAAAGTTTTCTTTAATCTCCACCACAAAATACAGTGAACACACTATTTTTCTATCTTATGATATCACTGAAGTCTTAATTCATTACAATAATTTCACAGTCCCAGAACATGCTAAAATATGGCTCCACTGATGTTTTTCCTTCGTAGCAAAAGCTGCCTTAAATAGTTCCCACTTCTCCAGCCCTCCCACCTCACTCCTCCTCCTCAACCAAATATTAGAACATCATGCAACATAAACTCACCTTCATAATTTCACGGTATGGGTGATCCTGGATTGCAAGATGGCACTCATCAAACACCAGAAGATTAATATTTGAGAGGGATAAATACTCATTTCTCAAAACAGTCAAAGCAACATGACATGTCATAACCAGAACCTAGATTGAAAGGAAAAGAAAAGAAGAAAAAAAAAAAAAAGGTGTCAGTATAAGAAAAGTACAAGCTGGCTTAGGTCAGGGTGAAATAGCAAAGCCTTCTGCAGGTCTTGCTAGACAGTATTAGCAAATATCAGCTACTATTCATCTACATAGACCAGGTAAGGACAAAAGAGAATAAAACATTCTCTACTTGAGAAAGTAATCTGTCTGAAGGTTTTATATGTCACAGGCCTAGGGAAAAAAAAAAAAAAAAAAAAGAAGTAATACAACAAATAGATGATATCAACACCAGCCAGACTACACGGAACAAATGTCATTAAGTCCACAACAAGTTAGTGTCCCTTATGTGCCCCATCATCATGCCTCTGGCAAGAAAGATAATTCTTCATAAACTCATAACCACCTGCAGCTACAACAGAAAAGCAGGATGTTATCACAATTCTTTTTAAAGGAAAACTCATTTCTTGTATATTATCACAGATAAAGAGTTGAGCTTCTTGATAAAATTATGCACCATTTTTACAATAACTTTAAACTCCACCAAGTATAGTAACACTTCCACTTGTCAGAGTTCCTCAGAACATAGGCCACTATTAAATACTGGACAGAAAACCCCAGAAATAACAAATATTTGCATTACTGCAAGATACTTAGGTCAGCATGGAAAAAAGATTGTAACAGAAAGGGTCCAAGAACCACCAAGGAAAATGTTACCATTAAAGCTACTGATTTTCTGTCTAAAAGGAGAACTAGAGAGAAATAGTGTACCCAAAAAGGCAGAAATAAAATGCATGCCAAAGAGAATGTGCTGCATCCCCAAAGAACATTCAATTTTATCATCATTTCTATTACCTAATACTTAAACATCTTTTAATGGCATTTAAAATACACTATGCACACTCAAAATTTCTTCTGCAATCATCATCATAATGAACCACAAGTCAGGGAGACTGAAAACAAAGGATTAAAAGGACAGCTTTTTAAAAACTTGAGAAGCCCTATACATGTTTTGCCTCAAAATTCATATACAACTAATATCAATATACTGAATTTCTCTTAGAAAATAAGTTAACATATAATTGGAAAAAATTATCACTTCTGATCATGCCTAACTTACTGTAGACTCTGCTTATTTTTATAGTTTACACTTAATACATCACCTGATGCTTAGAGAATTCCTGACTCCACTTCTCTTTTGTCCATGATTCAGTTATCTCTAAACTTGAATACTCTCCCACTTTAAGATCTGAATGTGTCCTGACAGCTGACACTTGTTGAACAACTTGATTTGCTTAAGAAAAAAAATACAAAAAAAAAATCTCAATCACATAAAGGTCTTTTCATACATTAATTTTCAAGATGCCTGTCATATTACCTAGCACTGTGTTTCATAACATGATCTTTAGCTTAGACTAATGTTGAACTAAGTGTACATGGCAAATGCCTCCATATAAAACCACAGCAAGGAAACAGATTGGTAACTAAACTGCACTTCAGAGTCAATGTCTTAATTTTATACCAGGAAACAGAACATGTCACAGAGATAAACAGGTTATATTGAATGGATCATAAACAAAAGATGAAAGGCATCACATTCTTTAATCCAGTTTAGCATCTTTGCTGTTGGAAGACTTTATGCAAAAGTTTCTCCCAAATTTGCTTTCACACAACTTCTATTAAGGAATATTCCATGGAAATATTAGCAGCATGTTCAGGAACTTAGTATACTTTTCCTCTTACCTGAGTTGACCAAGAACACAGTTCTTTTTCCATTTTTGTTGAAATCTCCCCTGATCTGATAGGACAGCTCTTTAGTGAGTAGTACTGCAATAAAAGTCTTCCCTGAGCCAGTGTTTAAGCAGACTATTGTATTATGATCCAAAGCTGCTTCAAGCAGTTCAACCTAGGTTTAAAAAATAATAATGTCCTTACTTGCAGCAATGCAGTGAAAAAGCTGACAAAAAAAAAATAACACAAGTGGTAAATAAACTACAGACAAGTCAGCAGTATCCCTAGAGATCTTTCCAGTGCCAAAGAATACATCTCTTTCACAACAATGTATTGTCACGTTCTTTCCAAAAATATTAATACACACTATATAGTCTATCTTCTAAATCTAAAATCCTTTAGTATCACAATTTGCTGCTATTTTAAGTAGCTGTCTAGCTATATCTTTTTAATAGACACTTCTGTTGCTAGATACATTATGTGAATAAAGAAGCTAGAGCTTTTAAATCTAACTGTATACATCAATTCAGCCAAACAAGCAAGTATATTATGTCAAGGTGATCTAAGCTTTTCAGTAAGACTGACCAAATGCTAGCTTTCAGGCACCTCTGCAGTGCAAAGAGAACTGAAATTCTAGGACTCAGAAACAGGTTTGCATAACAAAATGAAAATCAGAGTACTCCAATGGGGTTTCTGACATTACTGAGCTGCTTTGACCAGTATGTGAACCAAAAATCAAGATTCACCATGTAGGAGACAGAAGGTCAGAGGAGGAAGGAGACGTGATTGTATGCATACAATCAATATGCACAGTGTAATGTTTTCTGTATTTGTCCCTAACAGCATTTTGTAGAGAGCAGCAAGAGAATACTCTGGTTAAAAGTTGTTCTGCTCATTAGAGCAAACTGAGAAGAGAGAATAGAGGGTATTACAAATGTAGAAGATGGCCAAGCTAAAGACTCCCAACAGGTGGAGCTGAGACATGCCTAGACTGACTGTGTGCAACACTGCACGTTCTCTAGCTGCTCTGGTTCTTTTTCTATTAAGTTAATGGAATTAATTTTACTTTTTCTTGACATTACTATATTAGTATTATCACTAGTACCTGATATTTTCTTGGTGTGTAAATGTTATCATGAATTGCTTCTTGTTGCCATGGTAGTCCAAAAAATGGACCCATTGGGGAGGAAGCAGGGGTCATGAGCTGCAGTCCCGCCATGCTGAGGGATTGCAAAGCAGGGCTTTTCATTCATTCATCCAGTGTTTCTTTCATTGCATTTTTGTTCCAGCACAGCCTACTATGAGAAGAAAAAGAAACAGTATTAGATACAGTAACAATATAAAGCAAGAAGAGAAAATTTATTCTAAGAAAAGGACATTACTTGATTTTACTTCCACTAAGTGCTAAATGTCATACTATTTTCAGCAGAAAATGTTAATTTTAAATTTATAGGCACTTTTCAACTTAAAGATGTGTGTTTATCAAAGTACCAAAGAAATTCGAAAGGAGCTGTACTTTACACGGCAAAGTTCATTCTAGGCATTTGGATTTACACAAATACGTTTCAGAATAGAGTTCCATTTATGTTCTGACAGAATACCATTTAAAATATCTTTAAAAACAAATTAAAAAAAATAAAGCTCTTTTAGCTTTACTTCAAGAAAGAAAAAGATTGATTTTCTAGAGCACAGGCATAAGTAAGTATCACATTTTCCACTTTTCCTTCCAACCAGAAAGTCCCTATGGCCAGTTAAAGCTTTACATATACACATGCAAGAGGAACTTTATCCTAATCAGCAGGGAAAGAACAATAACTACATAAGAACATCAGTATTTTCAAATCAACAGATTCTGATAAGGTTACCTATTTAAGGAACTGGCAGACGTATTACAAATCATTGCTAATGACTCTGATACGGAGTAATGGAGAAAGGGACCCTTATCAGGCTAACCACCAATTTCCAGAAAGATATTCTAATTGATAAACAAATCAACCATTCACAACTTGATGACAATTACACGCTGGAAAACACTTTCCTACTAAGGCTATGAAGTCCTCATCACTCAGGGGTTTTTTAAAGTGTTTGCTATCTGTCAGGAATGATCAAGGTAAAAAAAAAAAAGAAAAAAAAAAATCAAATCTACCTTGCCCAGGGAAACTGATTAAGGCCCAACGATATAGAAAAATATTGCTGAAGTGCAACACAAACATAGTGCATCAAATCTAAGACATTTTGAATACTTCCCCCCTTCAAATCAGATACATACCCGAGTCAACAAAACAGTATTTGCAAAAGTTAGTTTTCCTCAAAATTCCTAGATGCTCTATATTCATTTTAGCATCAATCTCAAAATGAGAAATACATAAAAATGATGATGCTTTCAAATTTAATCATTCATTAGAAATTCATGAGGAAAAGCTAATTATCATCCTATTGCATAGAAATGTCCTTGCTTTTCTATATAACAGTAAAGTTGGTTAAGTTTTGCAAATATGCAGTAGGGAACAAAAACTAAGAAAAGTATGATATGATATCTAATAGAAAATATTAACCACTAATGGTTATGAGAAATAACTGCTTTGAGAGATTACAAATAAAGCAGTACAATTTAAAAGTATTCATTTATTTTTGTACCAAGATGAAATTTTATTTAACATAGTCTTCAATTAATAAAACATTGTAGCTCTTTGTGGTATATTCACATTTTTAAGTTAAATATTATAATTTGGGCCATGTCTAAACACTGATTTATATTCTAACTTAACTAGTATTAAATAACTATGGGAAGCTCTGACAAAAGAGATTAAACCAATTCTCTCTAGTTTTCCATCTTGGGTATATCGTGTAAAATAAAGAGAAGGCAATACATTGAATCACATGGTCACTACCCTTGCAGATTAATGCAGAAGTAATCCCACTTCATAGAAAGAAGTCAGAGATAGAGCTTTGTCTCAGTTTTTCCAAAGGAACAGGGGGAGTCCTGAAGGACAGTGTGGTTAAGTTGAAGTATCATTGTTCGGTCCCATAATAAAGAATTATTTTGAAGGACAGTAGCATAATACACAATATTCCCCAGCCACTGGTAGAAAGCATCTGGAAACTCTGGGTACTGCTAATGTAAGTGAAGCTTTTGTATGAACTAACAGCTTAGGTATATGAGAGCAGGGGAAAAGGGAGATAACACAGGGAAATGTGTGTCATCCCCAGCTCCCCCACTCCAGCTTACAGATGAAGCTCCCCTTTAATACTTCAATCTATCTAGCTTCTCTTTTTATATTCCACTGAGTAACATGCTAGTTGGTAACATGAAAAAAAATCCTTTGATACAAAAATCTTTATCATGACTACGGTATTTTGTTGAAATGGTCTCAGGCATGTTTCTCTACTTAGGTATAGCAACTGAAGTGGAAACACAAGTGTTTACTTTGTTAAAATGAGCCCTGGTCACAGCCATCATAATTGCTCAAGACTAGAAGGGACCAGGAAAAAAAAACCCAAACCTTCTGCATAATAAAAGCTAAAGTCAATTCCCCAATCATTCTTGTATCTAAGCCCAGCTTCAGTATTATAATCACTTGACATCAGCAGTGCCTCCTCTTCATTCCGCCTATTTTGTTTTTTTTCCAAATCATAAATACAACTTTGAAAACATATAAAATACCTTTATCACATCACCAGGAGGAAATTAAGGAAAGAAAACCAACCTTATTTGAGAAGGCTGTTAACAAGAAACAAGTACAGGATCTAATATTCACAAATAAGCATATCTCTTTTGCTACACATTTCATGACAGTGATATTAGGTTAGCTACCCCACTGCAAGAAGCAAGGGGATTCATACTTACGGTGGCAGCTTGATCTGGAAGAGCTGTGAAACAACATATACTCTCAACTACAATTTTGGTTTGTGTATAGTCATGAAAGACCTGCCCTAAAGTACAATCATCTCATCGAGATCAAAAAGCATTCTCAAAAAACCCTGTGAACTGCAAAGGAAGAAGTACATACGCATTTGTAACTTTAAAAGTAAGCACAAGCAAAACAACACTGCCTGCCACTGCTAACCATACCATTATTACCCTGCAATCTGACCAAAAAAAAAAAAAAAAGATAATTTAGCTACGATACACTGCGCATACCTGCAGCGCTATGATCTTACTGGCATCACGGAGACACGGTGGGATGGCTGCTATGACTGGAGTGTTGGACTGGAAGGATACAGGCTCATTAGGAAGGACAGGCAGGAGAGATGAGGAGGGGCTGTCACCCTCTATGTCAGTGACCAGCTGGACTACATGGAGCTCCACCTGGGGATGGATGAGAAGCCAACCGAGACCTTACAGGTAGGATTAAAGGGAGGGCAGGGACAGGTGACAATGTAGTGGAGATCTGTTACAGGCCACCCAACCAGGGAGACTGAGCAGATGAGGCCCTCTACAGACAGATATGAGCAGCCTCACCTTCACAAGCCCTGGTTGTCCTCAGGGGGGACTTCAATCACCCTGGTATCTGTTGGAGGGACAACACAGCAGAGTATAAGCAATGCAGGAGGTTCCTGGAATGCATTCATGATAACTTGCTTCTCCAAGGAGCCAACAAGGAGAGGTGCTATGCTGGACCTTGTTCTCACCAACAAGGAGGGGCTGGTGGGGAATGTGAGTCAAGGGCAGCCTTGGCTGCAGTGATCATGAAATGGTGGAGTTAAGATCCTTAGGGCAGCGAGGAGGGCGCACAGCAAGCTCAATACCATATTCAGGTGAGCCCCTTCAGGGATCTGCTTGGCAGAGTACCATGGGATACAGCCATGGAGGAAAGAGGGGCCCAAGAAAGCTGGTTAATATTCAAGGATCACCTCCTCCAAGCTCAGAGGCAACGCATCCCAACAAATAGGAAATGCAAAAATGCCAGGAGGCCGGCATGGATTAACAAGGAGGTCCTGGACAAACTCAAACACAAAAAGGAAGCCTACTGAGGGTGGAAGCAAGGACAGGCAGCCTGGGAGGAATACAGAGAAATTGTCTGAGCAGCCAGGAATCAGCTTGGGAAAGCCAAAGCCCTGATAGATCTGGCCAGGGACATAAAAGGCAATAAGAAAAGCTTCTATAGGTATGTTGGTGATAAAAGGAAGACTAGAGGAAATGTGGGCCCTCCTCCGGAAGGAAACAGGAGACCTGGTTACCTGCAATATGGAGAAGGCTGAAGTATTCAATGACTTTTTTGCCTCAGTCTTCACTGGCAAGTGCTCCAGCTACACTACCCAAGTCACAGAAGGCAAAGGTAGGGACTGGGAGAATGAAGAACCGCCCAGTGTAGGACAAGATCAGGTTCAAGACCACCCTAAGAACCTAAAGGTGCACAAGTCCATGGGACCTGATGACATACATCTGCAGGTCCTGACGGAACTGGCGGATGAAGTGGCTAAGCCACCGTCCATCATATTTGAAAAGTCGTGGCAGTTCAGGGAAGTCCCCACAGACTGGAAAAGGAGAAACATAACCCCCATTTTTAAAAAGGGGAAAAAAGCAAGACCTGGGCAACTACAGGCCAGTCAGTCTCACCTCTGTGCCTGGCAAGATCATGGAGCAGATCCTCCTGGAAATTATGTTAGGGCACATGGAAAATAAGGAAGTGATTGGTGACAGCCAACATGGCTTCACTAAGGGCAAATTGTCCCTGACAAATTTGGTGGCCTTTTACAAGGGAGTTACAGTGCTGGTGGATAAGGGAAGACCAACTGATGTCACCTACCTGGACTTGTGCAAAGCATTTGACACTGTGCCACATGACATCCTTGTCTCTAAATTGGAGAGACATGGATTTCACAGATGGACCACTCAGTGGATAAGGAATTGGCTGGATGGTAGCACTCAAAGAGTTGCGGTCAGCAACTCGATGTCTAAGCGGACACCAGTGACAAGTGGTGTTCCTCGTGGGTTGGTATTGGGACCAGCGCTGTTTAACATCTTTGTTGGCAACACAGACAGTGGGATTGAGTGCATCCTCAGCAAGTTTGCCAACGACACCAAGCTGTGTGGTGTGGTCGACACACTGGAGGGAAGGGATGTCATCCAGAGGGACCTTGAGGTGGGCTTGAGAGGTGGGCCTGTGCAAACCTCATAAAGTTCAACAAGGCCAAGTGCAAGGTCCCGCACATGGGTCGGGGCAATCCCAAGCACAAATACAGGCTGGGTGGAGAATGGATTGAGAGCAGCCCTGTGGAGAAGGCTTGGGGGCGTTGGTTGATGAGAAGCTCAGGATGACCCAGCCACGCGTGTTCGCAGCCCAGAAAGCTAACC